CTGCCCACGGCCTCGCGAATAGGCGACGTCGAACGTTTCATTGAAGAAGTATTTAATCGTAACTTATCGAAACTAAAGGGTTTTAACACCTTTATAGGGTACAATGTAGAACGCAGGTGAATAACACAAAAATAAGACAAAAAATCATGATATCGATAAAAGCAGTATTTACATAGTAGTATAGTTAGTTACATAGTACATAGTAATAGTATATTACAAACGAAACGTATCGATTCAATCAGTTGAGTTCAGTTCAGTTCAGTCACGATCATAAAGCTTAAATTGTTGACGGGCTTCCGTAAATGGGATGGGTCATTTTGGCTTTTTCCAACTTGTTCGTATCAATCAGTAAACAGGAGCGCACGTTTAGAAATCGACATTATGATCGAGACACCAACGGATCATACCATCTAACGACTTGAAACGAGAGAAGCCTCAAGGCTCAATAAGAGAAGAAACGTTTACAGGTTTTCGGCTGGTCCAAACAACATCTGGGGCTGACCAATTTTAGTGTTTGTCTCTATAACTGGTAATGGATAAGGCGCTACATGGGAAGTCTTCCATTTTTTTCAGAACATAACTCTTTTTGCATGTGTAGAAAATTTTAGTGGCAATAGCAATAGCCCGACCGATAGATCCGATGATGGATTGACTGGAGCAAGATTGTACAGGTGGGAGTTAAGGTTGTTGTCATCGCGTACGTGCACGTTACCAAAAGCAGATACGGTTAAGCCCCTCAGATAAAAGAAATCATTCGATGTTATACACAGTTGGTTTAGGTCGGATATACGTCAACAATCCTTTGCGCCAGGTGTAGCTCGTGAATTCGAACGCTCAACTAGAGCCTCACCTGCGCATTGAAACAATCAATAAGCAGGTAAGAAGAACGTAAATTGAAATAGCTCGACACTTATTCCTCGAGTTGAAGCGTCGTCCATCGCATCGTTTCAGTGCCAAATGCTTTTGTCGGATGTCCTTGGAACCAACCATGTGCTGGGGAAACACCTTACTACTACTATAGAATGTCTATGGGACAAGAAGGTACACGAACGAATAAAATAAAGATCTAGAGACGTTTACTTCGCTCAGTCTTCATTGTGAAAGTGAAATTTTATCACTAAGTTAAGTTAGTGCATTCTGACATATTTCTCATCATTGTTCTACTGTTTAGCTAATTGTAACCATTGAAATCTTGTTAGAAGTCGTGTCCTGTACCGCCCAGCAGGTAGTAACTTTGCTTAGTAGCACTTGGACATTACAGTTGTAACTTATCTTAGTATAAATCGTTTAAGAACAGAATTCGAATCCATGTTATAAGGTTAGGATTTTTAAGCTATACGAATGTTGAGTTTGGTTATGAGTCCAAAGTGCTAAGTATCTTTATCTTAAATTCAATACACTGCCGTAATGTAGTCGATTAGCTGCGAGCGAGATATAGCTGAAGACTACAGTAATAGTCGAACAATCGTCATTTGACCCACGATAACAAGTACTTCAACTACGGAACAAAGGGACGTTGTTGAGCTACGAGTTGTTATGGCGTTTAGAGTGGCTTCGCAAATTTTCCTCGGAATGAGAAACTTCGATGAGGAATTAAACGGTTTATAATTTGAACACAAACCCGCCAATCTTAGCCTCATCCAGTGCTTCAACGCACCGTAGGAACTTACGAAATTTAAGGCGTGTAACCTTTAGCTGCAAAAGCGCAACCTACTTACGATACTTTCGACCTACTTATTAATTTGTTTGCATAATAATATGAGTATGTAATTCTAGTAAAAACAATGGCTTCAACGCGTCTATAAGCGCCTCTCAGCATTGTTGTAGGTCTACCAAGGAGAGCGTAAATGGATTCAACGTTGTAGACACTTGATCTCCCGCTTTAACCGTAGATCAATAAAAACATGTTTCGGCTCTTTGCACGAATTAAATTAGAGCAGAATCTAGTCTGTATTGCAACAAAAGCGCATTTTTTTTTCTCGAAATTCGTCACAAAATCATGACAATTCTCAATGAAATTAATGATGAATCATTCTATCGACCGCACCCGCTCATTGTAGCAATACTGATTAGTTGATATCATATCATGGTCAATTTAATTAATTAAGCTATAGCTCCAATGGGTGGCCAGCAGTCATCTTAATTCGTCACCCCAATCAGCGTGTTTCAGAACGGATAAATTTCATGGGTGGTACCAAAATCCTGGCATATATATATATATATATAGTAGCTTTAATTGTTTCAGATGCAATTCTCTGTGGCTCTAGTCGCATATTCTATTTTTTGCACCCATCCTAAGTGTATTTTTTATTTCCTCTAATGATTTCGTTCTCGTGATTTTGTAGTTGTAGTTCGCTCATCGTATTCTTTCACTTTAGTAATTTGTTTCGTCCCACATAAATAACAACCCTGTTAAGATTGTTTTATTTCCTTGTTTAGTCGGTGTATAGTTATCCTATAGAATTTTCTCCGTACTCGGATTTTTTGCGGCAGTAATCTCGTTAACCCGTTGTTACAACGATCGCCTTTTCTACTAACTCACGTCTTCTTTTGGCCCAGTCCCCATGTTTTCCCGTTGCGGTAGACAAAAGTCCTGCTATCTAATCTAGCTAAGACGTCTACTTCAAAGCTGCCGAAAAAAACCTAAACAAATCTTACTTCATGCATATACAAAAAGCCAGCCGTCGGACTTGCAAGATCGTTACTCTGTCGTTGATATTTCACCGAACCGAAAATCGTCATTGCGTCGCCCTGTGAGCGAACAACGTCGATCTCTCGCTTTTCGTAAAACAAACTATAATGATACGAAAATACTCTTACGTATTATTTCGTTGTATAGGTCTGATTTCTAACTCTCATGTCCAACTGTTCCCTTCACAGTGTCTATACTTTCCTGATTCAGTCAAGAGAGCAGCTTCTTTCAGTTCTTCTATTCGTCCAACAAAAACAATGCAGCATAAGAGTTCCATTTATGCACTGATGTTGTTGTTGTTGTCGTCCCTGTGACGATGTTCTAGTAACCCCTCGCGTCCTTTGTTCTAATGGCCTAGTTCTCTCGTTGCGACCAAGCCATTACGACGCCGCAGCTGCCTTGCTAGTAAACAGGACAACTGACTTCAACTTTGAGATAGCTAACACAAATCTTAATTGAAAACACCAGATACATTACCCGTCATCAAGCCACTAACCCGTTGCCTTGGTAGTGCTGCAATCCGGCCTTTGTCTGTTATATGGCGATCCATAGCTGGACTTGCAACGTCACACTGGCCAAAAGTCTACTATTTATAGCTTGAATTTCAGATGGATATTTGAATCTGCAAGTTTTTTTATAGTGAAGTTTAGCGGTAAGCCAAACGGCAGTGCGGCATCAACGAGAGAGTGGATCATATTCTGTGTTGAGATCAATTATGGGACACTTAAGTGAAGCGAGAGAATTCAATAAAAACTATTGCAGAACTAACGATTAAGCTCGACAACCGTCTCGAGGTCTTGTAATAATAATTGTTCTAGAATAGATCACGAACATAGGGATGATTGAAGTATACACAGAGCTAAAATGTAGGGACCTAATTTAACTCAATCTGTTCGAGCAACACTTATTTGAATAGTCTTGAGTACGCTTTCATCATTTTCCAATTGTATTTAATCCGTCCTTAAACTCTTCTTACATCCACGTAATTCGCCAATTATTAATCAGTTCCGCAAAAGTGCGTTTGTAAAAAAGCCCGAATTTTCCCATTTTACAGGTTTCGATAGCAGCGATAACGGTCCAAAAACGCCCCAAAAAAATAGATTCAAGAGTAGGCTTTTTTTGGCTTACATGAGAAAGGCGCTTTCTGCAGAGGGAAATTATCGGATAAAAAGCGTTCTGTTACCAGTTGGTAGAATGGCACGCGTAGCAAACTCCAGCGTGTAACTCTACCAGGCGCTACGCATGAACTTAAAAAGATGTTCTATACGTAGACGGATAGACACGCAGACCGACACTAAACTTTAGATAAGGTATTATCAGATGACACTTGCAAAATTTTCCGTCAAATAGGAAAGTAGATGACCATCAATTAAGGACAGCACTGTGTACCAAATCAAGCTGAATTGTCCTTGCGTTATGGTCGCGAAATATAGAGTCGGGTTGGACGTTGTGTTTTAATTAGCGCTTTCAATTATTTGTACAGTTTAACTCATCAATATATTTATGTAGGGGCAATGCAAGCTTCTTCATCTCATGCCATTTGTGCACTGTATACGGCGACATGGTTTCTTTAAGCTTTGCGCTTTTCTGCTTTTATAGCTTCTGCGAATATGATGTATGTGTATGATGCGATGATCTGACGGTGGATCTACTGATGATGTTAAACAGCAAAAATATGGCGGAACTGACTCGATGGCGTATTCTGCTTCGTTTAATATAATAAGATTACTGGAAATTAATAATTGGTAATTGAATCAGTAAAACTTAATATTCTAATTTTAGGAGCGCCAAATTTTTTTAACTAGGAACTGTCATTACTTAGGGTATATGGCCAAAAAGAATGTCCTTTCAATTGTCTTTAGCATCGTTTGCACTCTTGGCTGTTGCAATCGTTAGGATCGGGTCTAAATTCGCAAGATCAATGTTCAGCCCTTGAAGATATTTACGCACGTACCAAGACATACTTTGAGTAAACTAAAAACTATTAATTAACGTCCATGTTGGTTATTGGATGATTATATTACAAATGAACAGTGTAGTTCTTCCAAGATTGGCTCGTATCACAAAAAAAATGATGGGTTAAAAAAACCTGCTCAATATAGCAGTGTTATATTTGTATTTACAGCATGTTTATATGTCCGATAGTGTGGATCATGCTTCTACGGGCTCGTCCTTTTGCCCTCCCTGTCTGTTTGCTTTTCCGCCTCACGTATCGCATTTATCTGCCGTTTTATCTAGTCGTATCGCTGGAAGATAGCATCTCATCTTTTCGATAGTGTGGTTTCGGGATCGAGCAGTGTGTGCCGGCTTGTTCTATACCTATCCTTTCTTGCCTACGTCGTCTCAATGGTTCATTTCTTGCAGTGTTTCTAACGTATATCGTTGTGGATACCACCATCCTCGTTAATCTAAACGGTGAACTGAGGTTCGAAGGAATGAGAAATAATATAGATAATCGACTTATCGTACTTCCCTTGGCATAAAGCAAGAGACCAACCGAAGGATACGTAAAGCGACGGCAGATCGATTTCACCTGTGCATAACAGCATTTTTACAATTTTAATTACCATTTGGATCGGCGCATCGTTCAGGAATAACTACGAGTGGTTCAACGGCAATTTTCGACGACTTCGAGGCATGGCAGATGCGACATTGAAAGTACTCCTAGCAACTAACAATTTATATATTTTTGATAGCGACCATAGACGTACTGGATTAATCTTGTTGAGGTATTTAATACGAACTTTCACTGCTGTGTTATGCGTCTTCCCATTTAGTAGAAGAAGTGCCGCTAAGTTTTCAGGTAGAAAAAAGGCGTGAAGCAGGGGAAAATGTTAAGTCGTTGTGTGTCAACTTTTGGCAGACATTCGACAGGCCGATGGGGTATCCGGGCATTGAGTACGAAGGCACCACTTAAAACACCTCTTTACGATTTTCACGTGAATCACGGAGGAAAGGTAAAAACATTTCACCCCCGAGTGTAGGGCTGTTTTTCTAGATTGATAATAGCAAGGAAATGTGTACCCGAAAAAATTCCCAAATAATTTCCCATGTTGCTGAGAGAACTTACATGTTGTCTAGCGCTGTCACTATATCCTAACGCTGTTCACTCACGCTATCCTCATGACAATAGGACATGCACAGCCGGTACTAACGGTCAACCTGTTTCAGCCAACGAAAACGGTACCCTACAACTATTGGTATGAAGATCGAGTCAAAACAGTGTCTCTAAGCTGCGCTATATAAATGCGCGAGTTGTCCTCATGACGTTATTAACATATTAGTCAAACCTGAGAAATCTTAAATTTTTTTTATTAAGAGCATCTGCATAACGGAGATGACACAGAATATTCTAATATATATGCCGAGTTCCTCACCATTGACAAACAGATATCCGTATATATAAACAAGGCATTTACTGTATAAACTAAACATCGTCATTTTCAGAAAGCAGAGACCCCTGCCTTTATGTAAGTCTCTATCCCAGCTGACAGATGCATAGCTCGGTCAATTGTCAACACTGCATAAAAGTCTGCGTAAAACAATAAACCAAGCTAGATGTGCCAGTTATTAATATTGATCATATTGAAAATATCGAAGAGAACACATTCTTATTCAATTATGGTTTCCTTCAGATGGTTCCGTTCGCAGGTTACTCAATGCCGGTAGAGTATGCGGGCCTTTCGATATCAGCGTCTCATGTACACACCCGGAACCACGTCTCAGTATTCGATGTGTCACACATGCTTCAGAGTAAACTTCATGGTAACGAAAGAGTAGATTTTATCGAATCGTTGGTGGTTGCCGACGTTAAGGCAAGTGTTGTACCGGGTCATTCAACATATATATGTTAGACCAATGGTGAGCAAAAGAAGTTGTTTAACGAAACTGGCGTCCGCAGTAACTCCTGCTAAATCTTTTTTCTCCATTGTTAATCTAACTATCATGTGAACATACTCATTTGGACGTTTTTTAGTTTCAGTACGAATAAGAGCTGCGTGACGCCGACACGTTAACGCCTATGTCGTATGTACGGCTGGTTGAATTTGCAGGGCCTTAAGCCAAATGCGGGTACCCTGACTGTCTATACGACACCTTCTGGGGGCATCATAGATGATCTGATCGTGTCATCTACTCCTGAATATCTGTACATCGTGAGCAACGCAGGCTGTGTTGAGAAGGATTTAAAGCACGTACGAGCGAATCTAAGGAAATGGAAAGACGTGGAACTTGAGATTATTACTGGTGATTCAACTTTAAGGTTTTAAAGATATTTCGTAAGGGAATATAACAATTAACAAGTTACACCATGTGTGCAGACTATTAACAGCCTTCCAGCTACGATGTGACTGTGCCTTTTTGCAGACCATGTCCTTTTGGCTGTCCAGGGCCCGCAGACTGCGACGGTTCTATCAAATTTAGTGTCATGTAATATGAACGAGCTGAAATTCATGGATACAACTTTGTGCGACGTTGCTGGAGTTCCATGCAGGTAATACGAAGCTCGCAATCACTGAGTACATCTGTTCGATGAGATGAACAACGTAAGATATTTGAGAGATTTTAAAGGGCTAGCAGGAAGTTGCACTTGTCGAAGTGCTTGTCTTCGAGAATTTTTTGTGTGGTAGAACTTCAGTTCGCGATCGACCTATACGCAGCGAACGAAGTGCTTCAAAGCACGTATTTTGTAGACATAAGATCATTTCGTTTTATTTGTCGAACAGGGTCTAAAAATTAAGATTTGACAATGCCCATTCTGAAATTGCTTTAAAAGATAGCCAAAGGTTTATACGAATCAATAAAACAACAGTGCACAACAATCAACCAGAATGACAAAAGGCAGTCAAGGCATCCATTTATCTTTTTGATTGTTCATCCAAAAGAGTGACTCGATGCGGTTACACCGGCGAGGATGGTGTGGAAATATCGATTCCCTCAGTAAAGGCAAATGACGTGATTAAAGCCCTTCTGGCGTCTAAGGATGGAGATGTGAAGATGGCAGGGCTTGGTGCCCGGGACACCTTGCGACTCGAAGCTGGCCTTTGCCTATACGGTATAGCGCTAATCTATCAAATACTATTAAACGAAATTTACTAACCTAAATCAAACTCTGTTAGTATGTTAAGCATCCTGGACGAAATAAAGTCCCATTAGTACTTTGAAAGGGAGACACACATAACATTTATGGGTTCCTTACTCACAAGGTTCGTTTACATTGAAACTTAAGGCAATGATATCAACGAGACAACGTCTCCGATCGAAGCGGGCCTAGCTTTTACTGTAGGTAAACGGAGGCGCACTGAAGGTGGATTTCCTGGCCACGATGTGATCATGCAGCAGCTTAAGGAAAAGCCCAATCGGAGACGCGTAGGATTCAGACTCGAAGCGGGAGCACCCGCTAGACACGGAGCAGACATTTTGCATTCAGGACAAAAAATCGGTGCGTGCCGAAAATCGTTGATGATAAGTTACCTAAAAAGTACGTTTTATCAAGGAAAATGTAACGTATTAATAACCAATTCTTGGAATGCTTGGTACAGACGCGGATAACTCCGTCATTGGTTATTTTCCGTTTTTTTTTTAACAATATATAATAACTGTTCTTATTCGAGTGTTAGATCTGTTTCGCAGACTAATTTGGAATGGTTTGTCACGGTCAAAATGTATACATATTCAATACGTTCTTTGTTTGATGCACCCTTTAAAGTAAGTAAGTAAGGGTACTATTTCACCTAAATTCGTTCAACGTAGTTGACTACTGACGCATATTTTCTGGGTACGCTTATTATTATTTGTCGCAGGTGAAGTAACTTCCGGTGCGCCGTCTCCCAGTCTGGGCTACAATATTGCTATGGGTTACGTACCAACTTTTCTTTCCAAAAATGGGACACAACTTACCATCAAGGTATCGTATTATTTCTAGATAACTACAAACAGATCATGCTAGCCATATATATAATTAGTAGATATAATAATAAAATAAAATAGCCCCAAAAATGTGGAACGTATTGCGTAAAAAACAAGAACAAAAGATAAATAAGAACGAAAAAAAAAACAAAACAAAAAAGACTTCTGACACTCTACTAATGGCTCTCTCTTGTAATTACCAGCTATATAATTGACCACATATCTTTCGTGGAAATCCCGTTTCATACGAAATCTACTAGCATGGCGGTTTTTAAAGCCATACAAACTGGGCACTCAATACGTGTTTATGGCATAAAAAATAAATTATTTCGCTCCCAATATTCCTCGTAATTACTTAAGTGGCCTTTTACCATTGGCATGAAGCTCGCCAAATCATATTTAAAAACATATGTGAATAATTTGTCCATAGCAAAAATGCTGATTCCATTAGAGCAGTTGTTAACCTTTCAACTCTTTTTTCTATTCAAGGTTCGAAACAAGGAGGTGAAGGCAACAGTCGTCAAGATGCCATTTGTTAGCACTCATTATTTTACCTAACTTTTTTAGGCCTGAAGTCCACACACCCCAATGGGCTGTATGGGGACTGCTTGTCCTGTTGCGTTTGTGCTGAGAAGACCCAAATCTCGTTACATCGAATTGCTGCTTTAGTCAGTGTGATCGAGAAAGGTTTTTACTTGGATTTTATATTTGACTCTCAAGAAGCCATTGTTTATATATATATATATATATATGTATTAGCTCCTAAAGGACCGTTCATATTTTTCTATAATAAAACAAACCTGATCAGTGCGTAAGAAAACTGTAAACTTAAGCCTAGCATTAGTCTCTAATTTAGTTTTAGATACGGCAATTAGGCGGTGTGGGTCCTTCGGTTTATTCCATCTGATTGACTGTACGACGATATTTTCCAATTTCTCGTACCCCACAAATTCTATATGTAGTTTAGATATTGTTCTAATGAAATTCATTGGACATCACAACGCGATAGCTTTCGTGTCCATCAGATCTGTCATCAGTCCATCAGCATGAGTCAACTTACCATTGGTAACTTTAGCTTCGAAGAATATCTGCAATATGACATGGCAAGGTCGATTTTAACTGGGTAGTCTGGCCAATTTAATCTGCTACAGTAAAGAACGTAATTATGTCATATCCTCGAGCGGTTACATCGCTCTAGAGCACATTATTAATGCATTTCCATTTTGCTATCCGACCTAATAAAAAAATAGTTAATTTTAATCCGTATTGAGCGAGGCAGCAGTGGAACTGTCAAGAGCAGCATTGTCAATCCGACGCCTTTCTCCCATGAGCAGTTAGCGGATTCCCCTATGGACTCGGTCAGTCGATCAAGCGCATGTTACGCGGGGCAAACGGGCGAATCTTAACAAGGTTCTAGTGTAAAATGCGCTAAATAGGTCGAAAATCGTCACCTGCACAGCGGATATTGTCAAAGAACAGGCCAAAGATCCTCTACATTTAGATTCACCAAAGCCACCTTTGAACCCAAACATTGCCTCAGGTTCATTCGCTGATCTTTGTGCCCAGTCGCTTGCTTGCGAGACAAGGTAGAACGAGCTGCTAATACAGTTTACAAACAAAATTGATGCTTTCGTAAACAAATATGGTTTGTGCACAAACCATACTTACTGACATGAGCGCTATTATGCCATGCTTCTTGTAGCCGGTATTGCTCCTCTGTCTGTCTGTCTGCCTGTCTGTCCGTTCACAACACGGTACCAGCCATGCTGTTGTTGCTGTAATTGTTCAACGGGGGCAAACTGGTGAGGCAAACTCGAGGGCCACACCCTGACGCGACGCTTAAAAATGCTACCACTATAGAAGTTGATTCGTTCGTTGAATGAGCGGTTGAATTAGATCCGGAACGGGGTTTTAGCAGACTTCTACACGCATATTGTATTGAAAGCACGCCACCACTGACATAACTGCTAGATTTTCAACTGTTCTTCTAGATGGCTAATCTTCGGGCCATTAATAATGACATTCAAGTCAACAACAGCGCGGACAACAACGACAAACGATGCTCACAACGAACTTTACCCCATCACGCTGACGTAACATACGGGATGGTTTGTTTAGTTGAAATTATTTATGCTGCGGTAAACACTAGATGGACAAAACCAACCGCATCGATGTTCGACTTTCGTGTGCTATTCTGCTCTAGACAAACTGTGTAGCACGTGTCGAGACACGTTACAAGCAAAGATCACACAATAAACAGTAACACAGTAGTGTTGGGGGGTAAAAAGCACCGGAATTTCACATTTCATCCGCAACGCGACAACGTTATCAGCAGCAGCAGCAACGGGTTTTATTCTTTTTTCAACTCTATCAACCCTTTCTCGGGGTGCCCAATGCTGTCAGCGTTCTTAGTTAGGTACGCACTTCACTCTCCCGGCTTGGAAGCATCCTCGTACAGTGTCGTTGAAACATCGGGCTGTGGGAACGCTTGTAGAGGAAAAGGAGGAGGAATGGGGGTGAGCGAATGCTTCATATATAAGACTGATGTATAGGCGGCCACAAAGTCATCGTTTTGGTGGTCGCCGTTGTTCATAGTGATCTGAAGTCGTCAATCGTCCCGAGTGTTGAGTTTTGTCGTTTTTTTTTTTGCTTGTCCTTCAGTTGTGTCCTCTGTGTAATCGTCCCATCCGTTAGTCGACGCGAAGATGTTAGTGTCCATGGTAAGGACCTGTTGAGGTTATCGTTTCGATCGTGCGATAAAGTATGTGCAAATTTATTATTGGATAAACAGTCATTTCCACTCCGCTTCAACCGTGGACCTAAATACGGCCCGACTGGGATGCGCGCAAAAAGTGAGGTTGCCCGAGGCGTGCGACCTACTGTATGTGTTGATATAATAGAGATCTTCAGTGTAGTTCTGAAAGGATACTAAAGTGATATATAGTTCTAACATTCATGAGGTCGGTAGATGAAACCTGCTAGAATCTAAAAATTACTTTTTTGCTTTACATTTAGAGTCAATCATCGTACTACATCAAATTGTACTAGTTTAATATCTAAGACATTGCAATGAATCTCATTTTATTGGTAAAGCTTCATTATGTTTTCCTTTTTATAGTTTCAACTCAGTACGATTTTTGTTTGAGGTTTCATTTAGATGGTGGCACATTGTAATAACCTAGATGAAAAACAGGCTTTTATCATTGATGAAAACAGGCCTTTATTTTGTGGCACTGACGGTATTGTACTCCATGAATTAATTAACCTGTTTTATTTCTGTGGCGGTTAAATGGCGATAGAGGAAATTTGGTTTGAACTATTCACCCCAGTTGAAGTTCGCTCCTTAACCCCGGCTTCCCTAACCCTCTAGTAGAGTACGAACTCTACTAGAGGGTTAGGGAAGTTCTGGGGAAGTTCCCGTTCTGATTACGCGTCCGTAATGTCGATAATGTCATTTTATGTGTCTATTCGCCGGTGCGATGTTTTCGATAATCGGTCGACGTCCTGTACTACTCACTGGCTGACTCCCTATTGACTGACTAACGATGCTTGCCTTGCCTTGTCGGGGATGACGCTTGCTTCCTGCCTTCAATGGATAAATTTGTTGCGTGCCTTAATAGCAGATATCTAGCGTTCTAGCCCTTGCTGTGGCCATCAGTCTGCATCTGTTAGCCGCTCCGACGCCTGCTGCTGCCAAGGATGCGTCGGCGGCTGCGTCGGCCAAAAAGACAGAGGTATGGTCCATCGGCATCCCCAGTGCTATGGGGCCCCTTCAGGTGGGCCCCGGCCCTATGGTGCCCAGTCTCAAGGTACATAATAGCTAAATGCTACTAAATATACCCGAATGTAAAGGCAAGTGCTATACTGCCTTTTTGAAATTTCATAAAACAAGCTTGGTGAATTGCTACCTATTTAGCCTATTACAATCTCAAATGGCTTCTAACAACGAACGCTCCCTTAACAGTTTCGTCTTGTCTTTAGAATAGACACTTAAAAGGGTTTGTCTAAGTAACTTAATAAAATTCCTAACTAACAATTTGTTTTGTCCTTTGGGATGTACAGTAAAAAAGTTTAAAAAAGAATGTTAGATCTGCATATTTTATGATCATTTATGTTTTTGATATAATTAATTACTGCCGATGCGATACTCTAGGTTGCGGCGAGTCATCCTTATGAATACCACAACTATCCACACGGCGGTCACCCATATGGTGGATATGGCGGTGGTCATTACGGCAGTCATGGGGGGGGGTACAGCGGAGGGGGATATGGACATGGAGGCCATGGCGGGTACGGTCACAGCGAATTTGAATTCGGACATGTTTCACCATCTTACAAGTCTTCCCTTGGTTGTCATCATAAAGGATTTGACCTCATCCCTTGGTTTATCATGGTAAGTAATCTATCGATCTATTATATTACTAAAAGTATAGCTTTATGGATTGTTCCGACCTAAAACAACGCTTTAAAAAGCCGCGTATTGGGCTAATTTTTTGTGGACTACAAGAGTTCCTTTTCTGGGAAGGTGTGCGTGGAAGATGAGTACCTTTGCCCCTGAAAGTTTGTTTCTCTTATAGAGCATAATGTTAACCTGGTCGGTCAAAGATCAAGATCAGCAATTTCCTTCTCATTTTCAATGTTTCAAAACGACGCCGTAGCACCTCCAACCTATCATAAAACGTACTAATGAATATTTTTAGTTAAATTGTATTGCGTAACCAATAGTGTACTCCACATGCGTCGTTTATGCCATATTGTGAAAGGAGCTATTAGGTCCTATGCATACGGGAACAGCCATTTGACGTTACAGCTATTATAAATACAGTGAACCATTTATCCTTGCACAGGCTGAACAAAGGGCAATGAAAAAAAAAAAGACAAAACAGATAAAGCAAAAAAGAAACGGGGCGAAGCTCGTAATAGGTAGAAATAGCTTAAGCTCCTAGATTCCATACAATGCGATTGGATCGATAAATTTTTGCAAATCGTGTCGTGAATTGGCTTCGGAGGCTAATAGGCCTATTTTTGTTTGTACACTCGGTTAGCGTTATGCGTCATAAAAGACAAAAGTTCCTCTTAGTTACCTATTTTGCCGTGTTTGTTTGACACAATCTCCATTACCATGTGCTTCAGATAATTTTTTAGTATACCCTCGACGCCTCACGTCACATATCCTATTTCCTGATATTACAATTTTTCCGTTAGCTAATAAACTGACATTTTTAATAAGTATTATTTATTAGTCCAATTGCAATAGACTCGTTATTAATTCTGTTTTGCTCGATCTGTTGAGACTAAAAAATATCACCTTTTCGATATTTTCAGGCCTTAGGTGCGCTGATACTTATTCCTATATTCGGTGCACTGATCCAGTTCAAGCTTCAGGCTCTCGCACCGTTGTTTGGCTTCCAAGGCCAAACACCCCTTGTTACAACTCAAGTCGGAGGTACCAGAACTAACATCCAGGTAATAACTTAAAATGCAGTCAGCAAACGTATACGAGTAAATTGTGCCCCAAAAGAACCCCTCTGTATCTTGCGTGTCGATTAAAATTCTGTCTAGCTAGGATTTCGATCTTATGGATTTGTTTCGTTGTCGTTTGTATGATACAGGCACGTTTGTTAAACGAGATTTGGCCAATGGTCGATAAGGCCATCGAACATTACACTGGAATGGCTACAGAGGAGCTCAAAAAAGAGGCACTTCATACCGTTAACACAATTCAAGGTTTTCGCGCGCAAAAAAATTCGAAATAGGCAAGATAGTTTCACAGCTATCTTCGCATTATAAAAAAGTGGCCCATGAAATCTTATCAGGACTTCATTCCACAGAGCTAATACAAGCATTATTATATTAACTGAAACATAATGGTTTACGTTCCCACGTCGTCACGACACGGCCGAACTTGGCAGCGTACTGGGGCCACTCAAAAGCTGCTTAGAGTGAAGCTAAACCGGAGCATTTATGCTCTGTGTTAGGAATCGAAGGGTAAGCACTAGTCAACGCAAAGAATGATAATCCACGCCCCCGGGCAAACCCAAATAGCTATTGTATTGCACCAATAGACAAATTCAAAATACGTCAACCTTCAATTAGCTGTCGTTTTATGTAAAAAAAATACTCACGGTTAACAGCTGCTTGATTTAGCTCATATTCGCCATGCTGTCTGGGAGCTATATGAACTACATTAATTACTTCAATATAATTATTTTTCATTAGATGCTACTAAATATGTGGTGCAATTTTATGGTGCTCCATATTACCCTTTATAATGTTTATATATATGCGCAAATTACAACTCGATTGTAGGTTATTTGCTATCGAATTCTATTGGAATATGGGTCACGCTGAGTTTTATGGAGCGAGAGAACAAATGTTTTTCTCATGCGCGTAAAATGGTTAACACACCATTGCGCTCATCATAACCACCATCTAATTGTCATCAAAATTCTGTCATCCTCATCATTCTTCTATGTTCTGTGATTTTTCATCGCTTACGAACCTTCGTAGATATCACTAATGGTACTAAAGGTACTTTCGAAAATCTCAAGTAACAAGTTACCTTGCCTTGGAGACCTATCACCGTATAGCATATGACAAAAATGCTACCAAGTTATGTAGCGTCGTATTCTGTCGCTTGGAATTCGATATTCTGGTCCTACTAGAAAAATGCTCGTCAGTTCTGATTTACCTAATGGTCATATAAGACCAATAATAGGACTACTAACTTCTTCAGCTGGAATATCTACAGGGCATGTCTGGTGTTGTGTCAGTTAGACATCAGTATGGTTCGTGCCTAAGCAAGCCGTTGAAAAGTCCCATTAGGAGGATGCAGATAGAAAGCAATCTATTCGAAAGGTAAATATCGAGGCGGTCTAGGAAGTCTCAACATCAAGTGGGTCCTGGTCTTACCTAACTAGCTTGTATGATGCATAATGCAGAAATAAGCGTTTTTTTTTTTGAAAAAGATTGATTTTAGTGCATTTTAAATGTTACCTTCTTGTCATGAACTATCGTGTACAAAATGTAATTAACAAATAAACGTCGAATGAATGCAGGCGCCATGTTTGATATAGATTATATATGCCACTGGTATAATTATAACGGATACGAAATTATAATTAATAATAATAATATAAGGCTGTGAGATTTAATATATTGTTAATGGAGAACGCTCACTACGTCACGCGAATATGTCAACTGATTGTTTGGCCGAAGTACAAGGGGCAATTTACAAAATTACTTGTGGTATTAACGTAAAAATAAATTACGTGTTGCTAGACGACTGTATGACGTTTTCGTCGTTTTTACTCATATAAATATATATATTTAGTGCCTACTTTAGAATAGCCAACATTACCCGGTTGTAATGTGTGCAGGGAGAAGTAAGTTTGGATAAGCTTAAAGGAAATTTTCCGTATAATATCAATCATGTTTCTTCTTTCCGTTCATAATTATTTACGATTGTTGAGGGTTCTGAAAAAGTATTATAGAATCTCACTAGCCGAAAAATACGTTTCATGCCCAAGTATCGTGGCACTTTCTTCTTCTTTTCAATGCTCTCCTACCTGCTCTAGCATGATTTCCCAAGTTCTAATTATTCTTTTGGGTTAACTGTGATTGCTGCTTTTTTTAGGACTGTAAGTAATCTTATTGCCTCGCACCGTCTTATGATAATAGACCCAATTGTAGGACCGCCGTCCAGTAGCATAATTTCCTTATCTGTATAAAGATGTTGTTAATTTTACTCTATTTGGCTGAGAGGTTGAGGTGCATTTTGACAAAAACTCAAACGCGACCGGTTTCTCTATTCATATAGTATTAACTTTAAAAAAACGCAGTATCAAGCAGAATATAGGTCGAATTAATAAGAAAATAGAAAAAAAAATAATTAACTGATGGATAGTAGGCAATATTCGTCACTTTTACAACCTTGGTGATTATCCACTGCATTTTAGTAAGCTTTCTTTGCATAATGAAGATCTTAGTCTTTAACAAAAAACACTACACATTCTTCTATACGCTTAATATGTAAAGTGAATATTCATAAACGAGCTGTTTTTCTTTTTTTTTTTTTTTATTAGTTACGCACTCTAATGTGCCGCTGATGAAGTTTCGCATCGGTTTTTGCCCTACTGCCGGCTGAAGTCCATCCTAGAGAACCGTTAGAAAAAGTAAAAACCTATAGAAGTCCTATAGGCCTATAGAACCGATTAGGCTGACTACTTCCTGTGAATAAGTCACATGTACAGTACGGCAGCAGGATTAGTTTCGAAAACACGTTGGCGTCGAAAAGAACGTTTTTAAAGCATTTTTTCCAATACCGTGAGCGCCGGAAAGCGCATTCAACCTCTGTGAAGTTTATCAGTTGGTAAACAACAGATCGAAGCTTCAATCGAAAGCGTCGATTTGTTCTTTGACATGAAAAAAGAAGCTTTAAAAATGAACTAATTCTACGCAGAAGTGTACAATCACATATGATTACCCGTGGTTTTTTACCCCGTTTAGTCAATAAAAAATATTACGCTACGCCATTTTTATGCACAAAAAAAGTGTTCCAGCAAGGGGATATCGAATATAGCCACATCCGTTACGCAACATTAGTGAAGAAAGTTTTAAAATAGCGCTGGTACACACGGCGTTCTTTCTGAAGCAATGCCTAACTGTTATACCAGACGTAAAACTCAGAAACGTTTAATGGTCAAGCCCCGACGGGAGCATACGACGTGGGTCTGAAAAGCCTCTCAGTAACACTGGCGCGTCGAATTTTCTATTGAATGGTTTTTCTACGAGAAAATCCATTGGGCAAAAACTACCGCTTCTCTGCTCATACCCACAATTGTTAGGTACGTATAAGCATTCTGATGTGACGTTATGCTGAACGGGATACCTTCCCGCCCAAAAAAAAAAGGAGTCGCATCATTTCCTGCTATTTAGACCTCTTAAAATTTTATTTGTTCGATTTTATACAGTATACAGGCTACATGAAAAACAGGAATGTATGGTAATGTTTCCCCGACAAATTACATTTTTGTCCTATTGCTTGAAAAATGTATTTTTCTAGCTTGAAATGGGATACACAGCTAAGATATTTTAGGATAGCTTTTTAAAAAAAAATTTACTGAGCATCCGTTATAGACACTGACAGCATGCGAAAGGCGTACCAGTTGAGTGATGTAACAGGTTACGTATCGTTACAATAAGGTCGTCAGATATTTCCATCATATTATATGGTGTATTACTTCTAATGAAAATGGAGATTAACAGCGACAGGTTCCGCATTTGGGTCAATGAGTCGGCATATAGCTCTGCCGCTCATTAACGACAATAATTTAAAAGGGGAAAAACTAAAAAATCATTGTGAGCATAGCAGAAAGCGTCCGCCAAAGGCAGCGCCATCCTTCCCACATACAATCAGTTTTTTACTGTAGTATCGCTAGGCTCGTTAAGGCTTTAATCAGCTTATCATTCTACCCGAGTAATCAGGTAAGCTGGTGTATATATACATGTATTGTTGTTAGTAAGGATTCCCATTCCATTTGATAAGCAGAGTATGAGCGTACGGTTTTACTCGGATCTTCGCATGAGTGTCACGTGATCTACTAATCTACAGGTACCTTTACCTTGCGATAGTGTGATCCCTGTCGATAGTACAATTGACTTCAATAAAGGGAATGAACCCGAGGTGTAAAGCAGCCGTAAGGCGCCGATGATGTATTGCTGGCCATGCCCGTAGCACAATTACTTTGTGCAACAACGGCCGGTAGGTAATAATGGCCTTGTGCTTGTAGTCTTGCTTCGTACACAGACGTGGCATGGGATGGGACCGAGTTTAAAGACGTTTACCTCGCCTGGTGTAGACCAGGAGCTCCATTGGACAACGCGGTGTAACCACAACCCGATACAAGCTGCATGTCGCTAGCACTAACTGACTGGCTAGATGGTCATAGAAAGGTAAGGGCACTCATTGGTTATCTCCTTGAGTGTCCGTTATCGAATGGCGGAGGGGTGCAATTGCCGTGAGGCGCTACGCCTTTACGTCGCTTCAAACAGGAGGATAATAACTATCTGGGATTAACTAGTCTTCCTTTAGTGCACGACAAAAAGAAGATGAAAAGGACGTGTTAAGTTTAAGGCAGAGTTGAAGCTGCTCTGCCATTGTGAAACCGTGTATATATATATATTATAAGGATGACAGCAGTTCCTTTGCCAAAAGTGTTCTGGCATCACTCACCTTTCATTTTATAACTGTCATCGACGATTACAGAAGTGAGATAAAACAATGTTCCAGTTTTCGTTGTCGCCGTCACCGTCGTCTTTTGCCGCGCGATAAAATTCTTTCAAATAACGATTTTGCAAGTGCGCAAGTTTGGCCATGACACGACTGTGTTTCCATGCCAGAGGAATGCATTGCAGCGCCATCTCGTCATACAGATTATCGTGCTGCATGATCTGTAGTGAATTGAGACCTCGGATATAGCACGTGTGGCTGTGCATTTCGGTAGTAGATCGGTGTGACGTCCAATCAACCAGTGAATCTCTACGAAAAATGCTGTATTAACTCTAGCAAACATATAAGGTTACTACTCTCAGATTGTCACGTGTTTTGTTTGAAGCGGTTCTGATCTTCAATTAACAAAGCCTAGCTATGTTAAGTAAAGACTATCTATGCGGGGTGAGAGGCTTACGGCCGGGTTGGATGCAAACTTTGGCGTCAACTAAAATCTATGCATTGGTTTTTGCCGTCCTTGGCATTTTTCAAAGCGCTTATCGTTCTTACCTCATCGGCACCCTATCAACAGTAGAGAAGCGGTTCTCCATGTCATCAAAGCAGTGCAGTATGATTATGATTGGGGACGACATCTCACCTATAATTGCCTCTATATTCATCATGTTTTTCATGAAGGACTCCTCAAAAACAGCATGGATATCTGTAGGCATGATTATGTCCGGACTTGGATGTGCAGTCAGTATGCTTCCCTTCTTCTTGTTCGGAGCTGCTACCCACTACGGGACATCAAAAGCAAATGAAACGCTGGTCCCTCATTTACAGCCAACAGTTGTACCGGCAGTTCCAGTTGAACTATGTGCAGAAGATCGATATGAGGATCCTAGATGCGAGTTGCACGGCGACGACGGCTCGTTTTCGGCAATCCCGCTATGGAGTTTATTTTTTGGAAATTTCTTAAACGGAATCGGTGGAACTGTTTACTATGTTCTAGGTACGGCTTATCTAGACGATAATGTTAAAAAGAAGAACAGCGCTATTTACTTAGGCGGCGTGTATTTTGTGCGTATGTTGGGTCCGGTCCTAGGCTTTATGCTTAGTTCGCGCACGCTGCGGCAATGGGAAAGTCCGTCTGGTTCTAGCGGAGGTCTTACTCCAAAGGATCCCCGTTGGATTGGTGCATGGTGGATGGGTTACATCGTGATCGGAATCGGCCTGACCGTGATGGGGATACCTATACTATTATTTCCCAAAAAGATTCGTGCGAAGTCCGAGGCTAACAACAGAGACCGAAAAAAAAATAAATCGTTAACAGGCGACCTGCGCAGTACGCTGTCAGCTTTAATGCGGATTGTCAAATGTCGGGTATTCATGTTTCGGCTTTCAGGTTTTACAGTGGGCTATATCGCATTAGCCGGCTATTATATCAACTTCCCAAAATACCTAGAACATCAGTTTCAGCGTACGGCTCCTCAGGCCAGTACTATTACCGGACCCGTGTACCTGCTTTCGAACGCTGTCGGTATTGCAGTCGGTGGAACTATAACACATTTCTTCAAGCCTCGTCCGCAACTGGTGGCGTTGCATTCGTTTTTGGCATACGTGCTTGCCACAGCTGGGTTCTATTTACTGCTAAAAATCGATTGTCCAGTTATGGAAACAATTCTTAGTAATTGTATCGGCTGCAACTGTTCCGTCTCACTGTACACTCCCGTGTGCGATACCGTGTCCCAAAGACAGTACTTCTCCCCATGCTTCGCTGGGTGCACGCAAATTCAGAATGGATCCAAGTCATACTATGATTGTTCCTGTCTTGACATGACGTTTGGATCTACGTCGTTCACGTACATCAAGGGGCAAACGCCTGAAGTATTTCCAGGCAGATGCTCCGCAGAATGTGAAACGCCGCTACTGACGTATAGTGTTATAGTCTTTTCTATTCAGGTAACTATCCTACAGGCCTACAAATGTGGACCGTTTGGTGATGTTTAATTTTGTATGCAACGCAAAAATATGAATGATTCTATATTATTGGGTAGAGCTGTCTGTTGAACAAACTTTTCTTTATAATTTATAAAAAAGAATCGCCATGGGCGACACTGATTACGTAAAAATGGTACATTTATCCAAAACTCAACTTTTTTTTTGTCGCGGGTAAGCCTCAAATGTCTGCTCTAACATCGGGACAAAATTAGCATCTAGCATACTAGAAATATATTCTATAGATTACGTCTTAGTATCAGCTGGTACGCAATACTGTTTGGGACTATATGTGAAATCAATATTTAACCACACCTATAAAAAAAATACAAAACAATTTATAAACATTTCTCGTGAGAGTCATTCGAGTAGGTGTAACTGGTATAATCGTCCGAAATGATCGATGTGCTCATATCGTTGCGTATGTACAGGTAATTCTATCAACAACGTACGTTGGAGGAAATCTATTGTCACTACGCTCGATTCTACCCGAAGACAAAAGCGTGGCACTAGCCTTCCAGAGTGTCGTCCTAAACATATTTGCGTTTATCCCGTACCCAATCATATTTTCGTTTATCATGGATATTTCGTGCGCCGTCTGGGAAGACAAGTGCGGCAAGACCGGGGCCTGTTGGATCTACAATTTGCCTAAAATGAGAACGTACGTGTACGTTCCAACAGTTGAATAGAACGTAGATGGTTCAAACACAGTTGTCAGCTGCGTTGCTATCTATCATAAAATCGGAGTATTTCCCCCGGTGCGAGCAAATAATAAGATCACTAATTCGTGTACTTCGTTTACTGGTTACTGTTGTACATATATATATTTGGCCTGTCTCTCAAGTAAGATCCGTGTAAGGGTCTCCTTTAAAATGCCGTTTTCCGCAAAAAGTGGTCAGCCGCTGGTGCTTAAATAACAAAGTTATATTTCAACGCTTAGTTCTAAAAAACTGAAAAAAAAAACTGCTCTGTTTGTCTTACTTTTGATGACTCTTCAGGTGGATGCACATCGTCTCGTTGATCCTTCTGACCATCTGTTCGGCGTTCCAATGTTTTGTATTTATATTTAGCGGGAAAATCGTAAATTTTTACGATGATCCCGAGGATCGAAAGGAAAAGGTTGGTTAAAAATCCAATCCGAATTGAATTTTCCAATGAATGATTTTCCAATTGAATGAGCAATTTAGCGATAACGTGATATTCAAATAGCATTATACTGCCGTTGTTGTTTACTGCTTAATCGGGTGTTCTTATGTGCAGTGACGTTATATTAGAAAGTATCTATTTTGTTAATATGGCTATTTTACGCAAGGTACCGCACCGAATCCCTTATTCCTGCTAATGCATGTACTTTCCAGGAACAGTCTAATACAGGGCCGAGTGCCCACAAATCTAAGGGGAAGTGCAAACCTGGGGATCGTGATAAACCAGCTACGACACTACATATTAATTTGTTCAACGTCGCACCCTCCGAGGGCACTGACTTAGTGTTTATCGCCGCCCAGGAAACGACGCATAGCCTGACGTTTTGTGATTCCGGTGACAATGATGAAAATCAAGAGCTTATGAATATTGAACATCGGAATTGTTAGTCATGTCACGAAAGAGCCCTTACTTATTATCCCAGTTGATTTTTAAGACATTATATATAATAACTTAATTATCTCATGGTAATGATATGGACGGTTGAAGCAACAAAGTAGTTTTTCATTTACCAGAATAGAATAGCTAATTACATAATTTGTTCTAGCTAAATATATGTCAATTGAATGAGCAAAGTGAAATGTATGCGTGACTAATTTCCACTGCGTGCACGATAACATCGATGCGGGGGATTGTACGGAGTTCATAACATTTCAACTTGAAGGGTGAGTTTTCTACATATTAACCCTTCGAGAATTGTGTTAAATGCTTTTGCTTTTTTTCTTCTAGAGCACAGCTGTGTTTGGCTATATCTCGTCAAACTTCAGTTGGCTCTTGGGCATACGGTAGGCGAAATTAACAAATAATAACCCAATTCCTGTCATGCATCTAACGAAAGCAGGACGTTAATCCACAGCTACTTATTACGTTACGTCCCCAAGAATGTATGATAACATGCAGTAGCTCGTGCACCAATGAATACTCATGCTTTTTTTTCAGCATGAGAACGCTATAATTGCAGATCCTACGAGTGCGCTTCTTGGATCTCGAAGCCATCAGGCCTAAAAGTAAAAAAAAAAGCAAGACTCTAATATAGGCAATAATAATAGGCAAGACTAAAGAACTGACTGAAAATTTTATATTCACGTATAAATATTTCAAGCTGATAACACCTAGTCACTGCCCGTGATGACGAAAGTCACAGCTTCTAGCTTAGGCACTGGTCGCACCAAATTTGTAAAAATAAAAAATTACCGTTTTGACTTGAGAATTGCTAGTTTTAAAGGAACAAGGTAAAGAAATCGCTGAAGTCTCTATATGAACGTGTAGTAATTCAAAGTTTTTTGTTTTTAATAAAGGTTTGCCAATTAGAATTAGTTTGAAAAGTTATTGTAACAAGTGGCGTCGCCTTAGCGCCCGGATTAAAACAGGCAAATTATACAAAATTGGTGGACCCATTTGTTTCGATTTAAATTACAGGCTTTATACTATTTCCAGCACCAGTCTTTTTCTGGTTGTCCTGTGATTATTGTTTGGCTCTTAACGCACTAGTGCGAATTATTATGGTTTATCTAATAGGTATTTAGAAGTGCTTCGAAAAATGCTCGATATTATAAATTAAGCCGAATAAAGTGATTACTTATTTACGAACTTGCCTGTTTATTGCTTGTAACAATCGAGGTTCTGTCAATTTTTAAATGTGCAGCGGGCTTTTAAATGGGGTCCGTCTGGAATAGCCCAAGCTAGAAGAACATATGTAAAACTCTTTTGCAAGTTTTTTGTGGAGTGGAAATATAGATCTTCTTACGTCAAGGCCGAGAGCGCAAGAATTCACACAACGAGCTGGTTGCCTAGAGGCATTACCGATTCACATATGCGGCAAAAGCAATGCGCTTGCCCCGCGTCGGCATGGTACCGATGAAGACTGTCTGATACTGAAAATAACATTTCACTTGTAAAAGCGTTTATTAAATAGGCTTAAAAAGACTCTCCAAATATTCAGTCATATTTAAATTGATGGTCGTACGCAGTGAATCTAGTCAAATGATCTATCAATCTTTCACAGTTATGGTCGTCATAGTTCAGCAGAATGTTAACGGAAAACTGGCATAGATCAGGGCTTTGAGGTAAAAATCGAAGCTCGTTGGCTTTATGTGCGAAGACTTTTTCCATACATCATTCCGCGGTACATCGGTAGATTTCTTTTGACGTGCGAACAAGCATGAAATGGATGAGGACTGTTGGCCTGTATAACCTGACCTTAATGATGATTTTCATTGCAGATATTGTCAAATATAGCTGACCCTTGACTAGCTGTCCCAACATCAACCCAAACTTAAATGGAACTCGCCAAATTGATCACCATTCGCTAACCGATCGAACTAACATTCTAAGAATACGAATGTAAGCATGACACAGATTTATTTCCAATACATTGTTCATTGATTAGTAGTTGTTAATGATGTAGGATGAAATATTTTATGTTTCAACAATATCCTTAGTAATCCTGGGCATGATTCAGATGTCGATGTGTTTATCATGTTTTATTACGACTAAAACAGAAAAGCTAGTTTACATCGCTTCCTCGTGTCGAAAGCTGTTGAATGAATTTTAGTTGAAATAAAGCAGACACACATATTTGATCTGTCTGTTCAGCTGTATCAAGCCATCGCATATTCTGGGTCAATAAAAGATTTTTTTACATTCTTAGTAAAATGCACCGATTATAGTTGAAATCTATCTCATTTTTGAACGGACCACATCTCTCATGGACTTAATCCTGCCCGATCATGAGCCGGACTACAAACACACAAGTAATTATCTAACTAAATAAGAATACGGGTAGGCCGGTCACACGCCTTCTCTTTTGTCTTTTGTTGTTAGGCGCGAGTATACGGGAAGTCCTGGACAAGCTTCGGGCTCTCATTGAGCGCCAGTCATTACACGCGTCGCCGACTGACGATCGATACGACTATTGTTATAAAAGCCTAATGTAAATTAAATAGAATTGCAACGTTCGCCGATTGTGCGTTTCTTTTTGTCTACATCAGACCTTCGTTGTAGTTATATTCCTTGTCCATGATGAGACTCTTATTGAAGGCAACGAGGTCGAAGTAGTCAACATAACTGTTGCCCCATTCGGTTGCGCAGATCGCGTCAATCCATTCCGAAAGCTAGTGATCATGAAAACAAAGAAGCAAACAAAATCAGAAACACAAAAACGAAACAATATCCTATTTTAATAATACGCTGTAAGTTATTTCACGGTAAAATAAAAATAATGAATAGAAATATAACGTACACAACCGTACTTTAACAAAACTTTAAAACCAAGGTTTTATTCGTAAACAAGGTTCGTATTAGTAAACAGCAGTACTGTTTATCTGCAGAAGGGGCATAACTGCCGTAGCATAACATGTAACTGTGAGACGACGAAAGCGTCTTGAAGCCAAGCAAGCATAATATCTTACCTTGGGATGGGTGCCCATATCAATGGGCCTAATGAGAGAAGGCAACACGTCGCACAGCGACTGGGCTTCGTTGAGCAGAGGGTAAACGCAGTAATCCGCAACGCCTTGAATTTTATCATGTAAGTTAAGTTCAACTTGGACAGATATAGATGTCCTATACATGTGACAAATTATGTTGTATGGCCGCATTTGAAGTCGGCAAATCAGTGGCACGTTCTCGCCGTCACTTCCTTTGTTTCTCTGGCGAGCTTTAGATGACGCAAAGCTGATACACACCTATACACTGTATTCAACTAATACGCTCGTCCGTTATGACCAGAATTCTCTTCATAATAAAATTGCACGTAACATTTTGTAGTGTTTACATACACATATGGAAATTTTTTTTTCTTAAAATGACAAATATATATAATGTGAACACTCTTAGGAAATAGATATTGGCGCTTATGCACTAAATTATTATAAAGTTGATGTGACGTATGTAGCAGAGCGGAACTACAAATGCACGGAAGACTCCAATGTCGCTACTTTCGACAAAGGCTAAATTACATATGGCAGAACGAAGCTTATTAAATAACTACGGGGACTTGAGCTAAGGGACAGACGCTCTGAAACTAACATGAAATTCCTCTGAGGTATAATTTTACTATCGAAACAAAAACAACGTCGTTGAAAACTAGAAAGCGGAAAAAAAGGCAAGTAATAGTGCTTTTCGCGCGTACCTGCAAGCAAATTAAGATTTGTCCTAAAACACATATGAGAAATAATGTAGCAGGAATATTTGAAGTCAATATTTATACGTTTATTGTGTCCCGCAAATCTCCTCGAGAGCCACTACACGGTTTAGAGGAGACCATGTTTTTTTATGGAGAAAAATCATAAAGTTGTTGATTTCCTTTTGATTTCACTATCACTGGTTAAATAATAATTCATATATCAAATATTACATACCTTGAGTACTCTCTCCCTCTCTCTCTATAATGTTATTTTTCGAGATGTGCTGCTTAATCTTTCGTGTGAATATTTCGAAATTTCACTGTTTAATAATCGAAATATATACTCACTCGGTTTGTCATTGCGGAATAGGTATTTGGTTCCTTTTTTCTTGAGATGAGCCTCAATTTCATTCATGTTTTTGTGGTACTCTGCCGACATATTCGGGGAGAGATCACTTCCACATTTTCCCTCTATAAGATCGCACGTTGTTTTAAATAGCTGCGACAAAAAACAGAGCGAGTAAAATCATTGTCCCATACAGTCGTTTCGTACACTTAAACCTACTGTAACAGCCTAATACGGTTAGGTTGTCACTGCACCTATCTATGCATTTTTTTGTGCCACTTCTTTTTCGTTTCGAAATTGTAAAATCTCGTACGAATTAGCAACGAAACATAGTAGCTATATTGGAATCGATCACAAATAAGGTACTCACACCTTTAGCTTTCTCGATGAATAAGAGCTCTTCTTCCTTATTCGCGAACAAACTCTCTCCGTCCAACGTTTCAACGTGCTCGATGATTGGCATTGAGCCTATTATAATCTAGCAATGAAATGAAAGAGAACGGTTTAGTTTACCCTAATTAATAGAACAACATAATAACTTCTCATAAGCGGAAAAGAAACGGACTTGCAACCCTGAAGGACTGTATTAACAATAGTTAATTTATGTGTTTACGTATAGTAGTTTAGTCAATGACAGTCTTCACATAATAGCAGCGACATACGGCCTGATGCTTTGTTGACAAATTTCACTTGAGATCATTGTTTACGTACGGTTCCATCTGGCATCTCAAGGACCGGAACAGATCCAGCAGGGTTGAGTTCCATGAACCACTCAGGTTGACGGCGCAGGTTGATATTTACAATCTCGTGCCTGGACACATCAATGAAAATCTTGTCAGATACGACACATTCATAGAAACTAATGGCGAAAAATAAACCTACCTTAATTTCTCATCGAACGAAGTTGAATTCCGAACAATGCAGACCAATGTTCTCGTTGAAAATTGTTCCAATGACATGTGTGGGTAAACTTCGAATGCTTAATTTATTTACTCCTTGCTCGGTAGAGGAAAGATCATCATTTCATAGATATTGTAACTGAACACGGTCTTCTGCTCAGCGATATCGGGCTCCAAAGTTCAGTTACGTTAGAATACGTAATTACGTAGTTAGAACGCTTAATGTAATGTTTTCAACATAAGTTTAAGGTAATAGGCTTCTGGCGAGGGTTTTTTTAGAGGCTAATGTGTTACCCCGCTTGCAAACACCGAATTTCAACTGTGGGGTTGTTTAGTCGGTGCTAAGGGCGTTTAGCCGGCACTTTTTAACTTCAGTAAATGCATCCAGTAAATTCGCACCTTTCCTCTTCACCAATTCCGCATCAAGACGTTACTTATTAGCATGAACAGCTTCAGCCAGTATTCCAACACGCACTTCAATAGACTTTGTTTACACTTCCGTACATGGAGGATTCGTCAGTTAATCAACATACAACAATGATGGAGCGTGTTCGCCAGTCGTCTCCGCCTTTGACCAACCGACCGATTTAATCCAGATATATGAAGGCTCTTCACTCATCCCAGCATCTTCGATATAGACGCTTTCACAACTATACACAGGCTTTATATACTTGAAAAAATATTGCACCCTGCTATGTGAGGCCGTATTTCTGTGAGCCTATTTACCTTGTAAGTGGTAAGTATCGGTAAAATTATGCATTTTCGATTGCCAATTAAATAAAATATTCAAGCTGTAAATAAAAGAAAAATCGGTAAAAAAAAAAGAGTCATTCGTTTAATAATTCTGCAAAAGTCAAATTTTCAGGATTGAAGCTAAGCTAATCTTAGGCAGACAAGGTGAAATTGATTGCGGTCAATTCCATCAGCTAACTATCGAGACAGCTTAACCAAAATTTTCGACATTTATTTGTCCGTAGCAGGTTTGCGATACGGTCGAAACGAATTTTTCTTTTAAATGGGGAAAAATATTAGTGTCTAAATCTATTTATGTTTCCCGTACCTTGCACTAAAGCTGGATGTACTTTATCTTCGTTAATTGGGGTTTGACGAGGCAGAGATTTTATAATGGATATTTGATGATAGCGTTTGTTATTGATTGTCTGGAAGGGTGTCAGATACTGAACAGACAAAGTGTAAGTAAGGTCATATACATACAGTTAGAAAAAAAACAAGAACTAGTTATAAAGTATATAAAAGGTAACAGGAACTTTTAGAAAGCACCAGTGTATTCTTGATGATTCGTGATGATATGACCATCAAATTCGTCTCGGTTAGATTTAAAAAGATGACGCGAGTGATACAAAAAGCGTTTCCCACAACTGAAGACCTATAAATGCTTCGATCAAATATCTCCCTCTGAGTATAACCGAAATAACAAGAAATCTCTCGGAAAGTCTTGTATCCATTCATCGGCTATACTTAAGTAAAAAAATAGTAAACGTTCAGCTGCACGACGTCTCGGTGCTGTTTGATCTTAATTATCACAGCCGTCATTCATTTAGTAATATTCATTTTGGATTCGTTTCCGGGGATTACACAGTGTCTTTATTGAGGCATAATGATTTATCTTACAAGCTTTTAGATTGAATTAGGATCCAGAGAGGAATTCGGTTGCAAGTTATGAGAACATTACGTGCCTGTTATATGTCTCTATTTATAAAAAAAAAAAAAAAAAAAAAAGTATTGTTTCCCGGTTCCATATATTGCTGCCACGATGGCGCATAAAACCATTTCGTTAGTCGTTTAGCATCAAATAAATGCGCTCACTTTTTTATAAAGTATAAATGGTTAGACTACTGGCAAATCGCAAGTCGAGTATTACCAATAATTCCGGCCTGGCAATGTCCTAAGGGACACAGAATACGCGATTTGTGAGGCAGTTCTGGCTACGGGTTGTCCAAGCAAGGCAAAGCCACATAAAAATATCTACGCTGATTAATAAACGCATTCTAAGGTTTAGTTTATTGGCCCCATGACAATTTACGGATAAGTGGCACTGTCGCGTGGTTTTTGCAAAGGTGTTTGAGCACCTGGCGTTTAACATGACCATCATCGCCACCATAGTGATCAGAAGGACGGATGTAACAGAAAAACGCTCTCGTATTTGGTCTGGACTTCACCAAGAAAATCTGAAGAAATAACCCGTCGGATGGGGTTACTATTTTATATACTATTAAAATATAACGCAAGTCTAAAAAACGCTCGAGGACGCTTGTTGGACTGTCAGACTGCTCGAGTAATGGCTGTGAGAATGGGCAACCTGTTACAGTCATTAGATCACAACACGTCCCTTTAGGCATAGGCAGACAGGAAGTTTACATGCAGCAGCTGTATCTAGAAAGGTGTATCCCGTCACGGAATGCAGAAAACTGGTGCTGTCTCATAGCGCCAAGCGAGAACGCGCAGGGACCAGCTCTCCTTTAATACACAACACGCCAATGTAAAATGCATTACATAGGCCGGGACATAAGGTATTTTAGGATTCTGACTGGTCGCTATCGCATCAAGTCGAGGGCATTGTCATCGCCATTGATCCTCAATTACCTTTGTAATATGCCTCAGCAGGAGAGGCGACGCATTGCGGGGGAGTTTTTCTCTGTGCCTTCTTCGAATTGCAAGCCATTTTGGCTGGCGACTGAGTAACAACGGGCAACTAAGAATCACAGGATATGCACTCGCCAGCTTAACGGCTTTAGCCGGTTGCTGCAGAACTTTCCCGCAATAATGTCATAATCTTAGCTCAATGTTTTAGAAGAAGCTGACGCCTTTCTCGCGGACCCATTAAAGTGACAGTAGATCTAGCAGCGTAAGCTAGCCTGAAATATTCTCTCGTATAGAAACGTACCGAGTTTCGCCTACAAATATTAGAAGGTTCTTGATTTTCAGGTTTTAGGAGATTTTTTTTAAATGAAAGGACTAACAGCATGCTGCTCCATGGTGCAAGCAGCTTAACAACGTCGATCACATATTAGTTTTAAATTTTGTTCACTTAAACTTCTTACTTAAAGAAAAACTTTCTAGTGTTATGTTGGTTACCAGGACAACACTGAATATACTTCATTCAGAATCGAAGGATCATGCGGTAAGCGTTTGACATTGCTGTTACTTCTTTTGCAAAGTTAAGCCCTATAGACTTATTATATTATTACCCAGTTATTATGACATTAATTAATATTAAATTAATATTAATTAAGCATTATCCAGTGCGCATTTCTCGACCCGAAAACTGCTCCGAGCCGTATCTGCCCCTGACAGAGTCCCAACAAGACATAGAATATGCATCCTGATCTCTTGGTAATGACCGTTACTAACGGTTAGAATATAACAGATACTAGTTATTAATAGGTGATGCTGGCAACCACTTTATAGAGATTTAATCGGTTCATATTTTTCCATTGATATATTATATGTGCGGTACGGAAGTCGCTAGTCCATTCCCGATACCCTTCTCACCAACTCTGCCATAACACAACAGAAAGACAATGTTTAACGTGTTTTCCTACTAATCATCGGGATATGTGGTGGGCCCAGGTTTACATACGAGCAATGGCAGACTTCGTTTCGTGCTGGTAGCTAGCCGTCTAATGGAAACTCGAAGGACTTGGTGGATGTTAATCTCTTGGCAGAGCGTTTACCCATATCGTATGCATTAGTCACTAAGCTAACCACTGGAGGGAACGCTAACAATGGAATGGATAGGCTTCCCGTATGGCCTGCTTCTCCGTCGACAGAGTGAGCTATGCGTGTTTCTTACTCGTGGCTATGAGAACAGTTTTAAACCTTCAAGCCGTTGCGGTTGCATTTACCGAGCGGGTTATCTTACACCTATGGGATCCTCCCAATAGACATCCACTCTTTTTTTGGAGTTCACACCTTCATCACCTTAAAACTTTACTTACCCTATAGTGCCGAATAGAACCCACCTACTGCAGGCGTTGCAGGGTCTCGTAGAGAGAAAGGCTTGTAATGGAAAATTGACAGCTAGAGATTCTAGGGCATAGCGGGTATCGTCATCCGATTGTCAGCAAATGCTAAGCTGTAAACTGGCAAAGGTGTAGGCTCCTTTGTGCCAACCAACCACAAAGGCCTGTTGGCGATACCGAAGTATTAGGTGCATCTTTTTGCTGGTATCACAGATAGTACCTGCTGGATGGTCCAACGTTATTCGCGACCCTGCAGTAACACACATTCATACAAGTCGCGTATTACAGTAGTTAAATGTCTGGCTATGTAACGGATGCTTGAAATGATAGGCTAACTCGACAGCAGGGCCTGGCAATGTGTTAGCGCAGAATATGCTTAAAAACCTCTTGGGCTGTGTAAACAGGTCCTAGAGCTCAGAAAAGAAACATATGGAGCTACGGCGGCGGCAGCAGTAAACGATGATTTGTCGCCGAGGTTCAACAGTAGCACGAGATGACCACCACGTGAATCACTTCTCACTCACGGTTCAAACTGATAGGTAGAAATCACTGCATTTCTTTCGAACAAACGAAATATGACCACTTTTAGCTTCGACATCCGGTTGGTTTCATAAGCGGCCAGAACGCGTTTTCATAGCACAGTTTTATGATCCATTGTTACTTACGGGAAATGGCCCTACCGTACAGGTAGGTATTTCATGCGGCCACCTCAAGCGTCAATTTCGTCCTTATGGTAATAGGTCCATAATAGTTTTTCGATGTCTGTGGCAGATGAATGGCATATATACAAGACTTTTTGTGAGCAACCGAATGTCAGAACTCTATTATTGAAATGGTGAAGAAAAAGTCAAACATTTGGATTGCAATGCACTTGTTAGACAGCTATCGTGCCCATAGAGTTTGCCACATGTGCCATTCGATTCCTGCAATTTGAGTGAGCCTTAAGCGGCTACCACTTACTATATTGAAAATAGTTCATACGGTCCGGCGTTAGGCTCATTCCACACATCTTACACAGTAATTTACGTGGCGGATTGTTAATTACCTAATTAATTCACTGTAGATACCGTAGCAGTCAAAACAATGCGTTCTAGTGACCGACCAGCAGTGACTATAGACCATCCCAGAGCATAAACCTACTGACTTTTTTATGTGTTTTAGTAGCCTAATATAAGCTTTAGGATCAGTTTACGATACGAGCCGAGACATTTTTTTAAGCTATACAGACGTCATTCCATGTTTCCCTGAACAAGTTTTACATCGCTTGAGTTGAACATCTTAGAGAAAAAAGTTAGTTACGTGTTTTTGCTGGATCACTAACTAATATGTAATTCATTAACTACAATTAGGACAGGAAACGTCGTTCAGTTGACGGAAATAGGTTTCCTTTGAAAAATTGTACCATGTTCCCCTACTTACATCAAGTTATTGGGGCAGCTATTTTTCATTGCAACAGCGACGGACTGGCATCTAATGAGGTGCCAATCCGTCGCAAAACTGATTCGCAGGCCTATTGAACATTCGGTAGGCAAATTTCTTTTATGTTGTTGTCAGCGTTAGGCTCTCGAGACGAATACCACATTGGGCGCTAGACGGAACTACGAGTAAATCGCTTTACGAAGCTGACAAGCCGTATCGTTTTGTAGATCCGGTCTCACATATCTTCTGTGGCGCTTTGCGGTGTCTTCTCTGCATCAACCTCCCTTCCTTCAGCGACATTACCAGTCTTCAATCAATTATCTCGCGCGCTATCGTCTGCTGAATCGAACTGTCGTTTCTTGAAACCATTTCAGCCCCCATGAACGTCCTCTATCCTCGTTTTTTGATTTTTGCTGACATCTTAGCTGGTCATTGGTCTCGTTACTGGGTCCGATAGCAGCGTCGCATTCGACACCCAGATCGATCTCCTCAACGAAAAAGCGATTTAGTAAAGTTTCGATATTAACAAGATTGTTTGTTGTAGACGTTCACAGTGCATTCACGGAAGCCATTGCATTCATATCTAGTGCTCCCTAGACCGCAATGGCAGAACCGTACGAAAGGTGAAATACCATAGGAGAAATGGCATGCTCGACTGGTGGATTTCTATGGACAAAAACCAAGGTTTTTCTTTTCTTGTCCAAGAAACGAACCAATTCAAGCGCTTAATATGCCAAATGTGTCTGATACAGGAAATTACGATAAAATAAAGTATCGGCATCGACGGATATTATGATTCGAAAATGAAAACTTCGTAAAGAGGCGGTTCAAACATCCTAGGCCCATAACCTACAATGCTTTATCTTCCTTGTGCCTCGTCGACTAGTTTACTGATCGTTCGTTGCAATTTTAATTACACACGCGAAGCTTGTGCAGTTTAATTGGCAAGTAAACTAAAGAAATCACTTAAAAAGCAACGATGGCAAGATATGTTCGTGGAATAGGTGCTTAAGCCTTGGTATGCATAGTACAGATTTACCATAGCAGAAAATTCAAATAGTATGATTAGCCAAAACGGAAATAGGAAAAGTGAAGGAAGCTGAAAACTTTAAGATCGAGAAGGGAACTCGAAGTAACTGAGTCGGGTCCTGGATCGCACAGAAGGCGGGATCAATATTTGACTACACGACCCTCATTCCATCAAAACGTCGACGAGGTTGCAGCTCTAAAATGTAAATTATTATGGCGCGACTCCTGATAATGGACTGCGCATTGAGCTAACGACTGTTGTTCCAAGCAATTCGCAGAGATGGTTAACCATAGCAATCATATTTTCAGATCTACATAGAAGCTTAAAAAGAATGTAGGCCAAAAGAAGCTGTCCGGGTACCAAGTTGCCTGATATTCGAAATACTGACTTATACACTCACTGGATTATTTCCTTCTATCTCAGTAGCCGTGTGTATGATTCCTGTGACCTTAGTATGAAAATTTCACCCATTTTTTCACTATGACTTCTAACGAATTCACAAATGAATCTACTCACGCTATATTCTTAGCTAGCAAAGCCAGTCGGCATCTGGCAGACCAAGGGCAGAAACGCATACTATACAGTCGAACTGTACCTTCGGATGGGCCTTGGGGTTTCGTGGCTCCTGCAATAGAGATGTTATTTAAGCTATTTGACAACTGCAAAGATTTATAAGCGCGCCATCAAATCGGCCTTTTAAGCTACCGCGAACTTCGACGTTTTGTGTTATTTTTACATCTGCAACAAGTTTCACGTAAGGCACCCTGAGTTAATCAAACGAACATAATGGTTTTCTATCATGATCTACAATATACTTGCATGATATACGCATATTTTATAAGCAGAGCAAGCATCTATTGTTTCGACGATTGATTTCGATTGATCTATCGACGTATATCCGACGATATTATAGTTTATCTTTGAGGACGCGCTGAGTGCAGGCGAGAATTATGTTATCGCTTTCCACATTTAGCCTCTCGAAGCCGATGCCTGGAGATACGTTGCGTACACAGCAACGTTTATGGAACAACTCTGTTACACACTTACCCGGTTATTAGATATTCTATGCTCATGCGTCTCATGTTAACAAATAAAGCTACCTCGCAGACATATCGCCGAAGTAAACTATCCTAAGCGTTCGATAACGCCGGGAACTCTACCTGTGAGTCCAGAAATCGATTTCAACGACTAAAATGTTTCGCATAAAATCGTTAACAAACCGTTACTTGGTTTCTGGCAAAGCGATACAGCTTTCTGTATGCGATATATGAAAAATGATCGCAATTTTTTCTCTCTGAAAGGTAAAAAGCGAATATTTGTGAAAAGGTTCCCAGCTTAGTTTGAAGTCGGCTTAGAAGAAATGCTGGAATCCTCTCTAGGCTTATTGTTCATATTGGCACGTAGTAAAGCACAAACAGAGCATAATACAGTAACAGTGAAAGGATAGGATTTTCGTCTGTTTTTTATATTGACAATCTACGAAAGATTTTCTAACAAACCATACGAGCGAACAATGCTAAAAAGCCAGGGTTGCGTACATAGACAATCAAAAAAAAAATTACCAAGAGCGACAATACTGAATAATAAGCCTAGCCTCTCGTTTATCTCATCTAAACATGGGTCCGAGACTGACTATCATTACAGATTCTGTCCTAGCATTGAATAAGAAAAGCGACTTGTCGGCAGACTTGTGGATTTTAGTTTTGCCTAAAGGGATAATCTTCAGCGATTCGCAATTTTCCTTTCTGCTAACGGCACCGGAATCACTATCTAAACACCCAAACTGCCAAGATCCTTATTTTTTTCTCTATTCCATTAGGTCGGGTAGATAGAAAGCACTATGGAAACATACGTCCGTAATAAGTTCTAACGGAAATAACGGGAATTCCAGATAAAAAAAAAACACGGCTTACGAAGTCGAGAACTGAATAGTGCCGTTTGTATTTTCCCCTCTCTTGAACGGCGATGAAGGAAAACACATATACGTTACTCAAATGACCACAGAGAAAATGAAGGTGCTTGGCAAAATCCTTAAGTTAATTCGAGAAGCGCACTTAGAAATGATCGCCTCATCGTTTAGATATCAGGTCATCTCAATTCCGACCATTGAGTAATGACATAAATATGCTTTGAAATACCGGACTACTTTTGCCCTTTCTGCCTATATTTGTTTAATTTTTTCTTTTGCAACGACACAATACTTCAGCGTCAACAACCCTTCGCACTCTTATAGCTCTAGGTATAGCGAAGACAGACTCCAATTCATTATTCTAATAAATACTGTAATAATTAGGCAAAGCAAGCGCAACCGCATGATTAGCTGTTTAATTAAAAAATAAAAGTAAACACTTTCAGGCAAAGTTTTCTCTCAGATATTGACTTTGACGTAAAGCACTGCGATACCGTTTTAGGCCATTTATAGAAAAAGCATTTTTCGTCACCCGCGGTTCCGTAATCTTACTTCGGTCTACTAGAGAGAATCACCACCGTCTGACTACCCAAAATGATCTGCATATTCAAGTTACCCTTAAACATGTTCAGGAGGTGTCTGATGCGATTTTTCATTCCAATAATGAGTTTTGGGTGACTCTTCACCAATCTTCCTCTATAGCTCAGAATATGATGAAGAACGCGAGCGCGCGTGAGGTATCATCCCGTACACAATTGTATACGGAAACAGGATTTATTACTGAGCGATTTCTCTAATAGATATAGGCAAACACTGCATTTTTGAAAAGTTCCCGTTGTTTGTGTTTGCTAAGACCAAATGAATTATTTCCTGAGTCGCCATTGTCAAGCGACGCTTGTATTAGCTATTTCACAATGACAACAATTAACGGTGAAATATAAAGATTATCGATTTCGATCAGCGTTACAAAGTTCATGCTGTCTAATGGAGCTCTTGTTGGTTAAGTACTTCCACCGGTTACTGGTTAAGATCTTGCTGCTGTTCGCAGTCTGTTTGCTTACTTTTGTTGTCATCTTTGTGCCCATACCCCCTGATACTCAGAAATGCCCCTGCATATTCCTGAGTAGTACGATCTCGAGGTGGGCCGCGTAGTTATCTTGAAACTTGAAGGAATTCAGTGAAACGTAACAGAGACTTTCCTTAGCAGAAATAGGCACATAACATCGAGCATGGCGAACGTCAATGTTTTGATGAAAAGATCTACGAACCTTACGTTACTCCAGACTGTGACTAGCCAATATGTTTAATGCCTGTCGTCATCTATTTCGTATAACGGCTGAAGGCTGTTTTTCTCATTTTTCACTATCAAAAACTCACAATCATCCCTAACATTTTTGGGTAATTTTTGTTAATGGCTGCTATCGATTGTGGATGGGAGGCAGACTTTAAAGTCTACTTTCTTTATTATTGACTTTAGTCTAATATTTTTTGCCATGCCTTCCTCTTGATTCATTATACCCCAGAAAACCTGTCCGAACCTAACAACCTTAAGCCAATTACCTCATTAATTTAAATGATAGTGTCATCCGAGCTTTAAGCCTATAAGTTTAACTGCGATAGTTCATATCAACACCGGATTTGGCTTCTGCATACGCAGAAAGTGGACCTATATTTCGCACTGATGGTATAGGTCATGGCAAGATTAGAAGGGGCCGGTGTGTTTTTGACTATATGGAATGCACATATCGAAAGCCCCTCTTGACAACACGATCTAACCGAAGTATCAGCAGCATCTAAGCTACAGAGTTAGCAGATAGGGCTGTAGATTCAAATAGATTGTTAGTACTCAGATCACAGGGAAAGCTCAAAGGAACTTATGTTATCTAACTTCTGTTTCATTGATTATTCTCGCGGGGTCTTAAAATGCTCACTGGTAATCATCAAAGTGCCTGCCACTCCACTCACCCTTGCAAAGCGCCCTTTCGGACATGACTTCTTGGGAGTTCGACGCGTAAGTTAACCGTGTGAGCAAAGTTCTGTTTTGAGGCACGTTACACCTATAAGTGGGTCCGTCAGCACCTAACCTATTTCGTATCAATGATTATGAGTCGTACGCATAGGCAACGCAATCAATCCGATGCTGTGTTTATTGTACTCTGTGTTCGAACCACGTCCGTTTCTATGCCGTCTATCTCTTGTATGTATAACAGCTGAAGATGACGTACTTTGTAGGCCGAGCACTTTGCGAGGAGTGGCAACCGCCTCGATAGATTCTTTCTATTTTTTTGGTCAAAGGCGTGCGACCTGCGCGCCGTCTTCCAGGACCTGGGGCGAGGGTGGCCGGTTGGCGGTCGCCGGAGAAAAGGCTCGCTCGCAATCGTCATCATAATCATCACCAACATGAGCAACATGACCATAGTCATCGTTTGCTAGCAGTAGCGGCACTGGGAGAAATAGCAGCGGCGGAATAAAGAGCAACTTTGGCCTCAACAGTGGCCGCAGTTGCTACTGCTACTGCTACAGCGGCTTCGCCGGAAGCAACCGGTCGATGTTGATCTCCGTGCGCTGTCGCATCTCTCACAAAAAATGATTTTCAAGAGCCCGCTGCGACAGGCTGAAATAAGAATGAGACTAACATGGGGGAAAGCAATAACAGAACGCTACGCTTACTTGTGCTAGACTCTAACCACGCTCTGAATGACTCGATGTAACTCCTCTGTAAAGTTTACTCACAAGCATATATATATATATCGAAATGCACATACCTCTTAATTTACACAGTCTGTGTGCGTCGTCGTTTTCACAGTAGCAGCAATAACTACGCTTGGTCGCCCCTCGTAAGCAGGCCAATCTTCCCGCGCCAGTGGCAGACCATAAGTATTTATTTCATGAACGAGCTTCTACAGATACCGTACATAAAGTTAGAGGTATACACTAATAACGGCAGGTTTGTATATAGCAATAAACCAATCGCTATTGACAAACAGCCAATAAAAAGAAAACAGTAAAAAACCGTTTAGCTTGTGTGTCGAAACGTGATCAAGGGCGTAGTCACGGGTTTCTCGTTTTCTGTGGATTGCAACATATGTAAAATACAGTGCACTTGTCAAACTTAAAAGACAAACGTCATCACATCGAGAATGCCTAGGTTAAAAACCCTATGAAGACTATCAATTTTTCCTCAATGACGCAACATATACGCTGTTTGGCCTACTTATTTATTAGCCGCTTATTTCTAGCCACAGTATGGAAGTTATTTCAGAATATTTGAGATCTTAATATCGCCTTACCATGCGTTTGCCCCCAATCTTAGTCTTTTTCCCAATCTAGTATTGGATATTAGCAATGAAATAAGGTTCTACTAATTACAAGAAGAAAAAACAGAATCATTCATGACCAATAGCCAAGTGTCGACTAATTCACCAGATATATTTCATAGGCATCCCTGTCTTTTCTATTGACGTAATTGTGTAGGAAACATCCATACGTGCGTGTACCTAACAAAAGCTACATAATATACGGTTGCAATTGACATCTCAGTGAATTTTGCAAGCTTGTTTGTCAATGTACGTTAGATATCCTAAACAGTCGTCATAAAGTCTTTAATGATTGTGCAACTGCTGGTGCACGCATAAAGGAAAAAGAACCGAAATAACATTTTTTTTTGGCGTGCTCGGTTCAGCTCTTCTTCCACACTTCGTCTTTCTTTGACTACAGATGGCGCAAACGGCGCCGACATCGTGGGTGCTATTGGTAATGATTAAGAGACTTCAAGTAGAAAGTCGGCATCACAGCCACCAGCTACTGCTACGTCGATGTGAGTGCAAGATAACCATCTTGCGCTCGCTGTCGCGGATAGCTTGGCCATTCTGTTGCTAGTGAATGACGTTGAATACATCAGGAGGTCCACTAGACGCCGCTAGCCTACCATGTCCGTTGCATCCTATGCCGTGGTATGACTATGCAGTGTAGCATAAGAGATTTAATTGCGCTTCGGCTGTTGCTATACAGGAAGCAGCCCGCTATTCTAAAACAGAAAGTGAGCAACTCAATTGCTAGATACGGCTTCATCAATTGCGATGATAACTCTGAGTTCGTCGTCGATGAGGGCAGCAGTAGCAGCGGCGGCGATGCCCGTAACATATTAGCCAACAAGACACATGTCGGTCCTCCAGAATATAAGATTCCTCATAACGCAGTGTCGCCTGGACTGTTCAGGTCAATCTAGCATGAAACGCTGGACATTTTCCTACAAATGTATGCTCAACAGCTTGCCAGCTGAGTACCTCACCCGTGTGCCCTCTGTATTTCCACACGAAGATATATACAGCCACGAAGGCCCTGCATTCAGCGAGAAAAATGCGGTGCGTGCATGTATACTTATATCAATTCTTAGATACTATTTACTCGATTATTCTGTGAGCCGATTTAGCTTGCAGTGCTGGCTAAACAAGCTTAGTTTCATCGGTGCCCTCGTAGATCAGCCCTGGGGGCTTTGGGTGCCACCAATAGCTTATATGTATAGCTTGTATGGTGCTTAGTCAACGTCCAACTTATGTCATCGCGCAAACACTTGAGAGCGTTTTAGGACAACGCTTAGTTCGGGTTTAATTCGGTACAGGGACACAGAACAAAAACGCTATACTAGTTCAGCAAATTAAGAAGCATTAACGATAGGACTAAAAGAAGACCTTACCATCTCTGCGTATATTTTTTGTTTCAGTCGCAGCTTTCGTCTCACGCGGTGTTGCCAGGTGCCTGTTAACGGCGGTGATTTGTTAGCGCAGAACGCAATGACATAGAAAAAAAATGTCAACTGCATGTTATCTTTGCGACGTCATCTTTAAATCGATCTGGGTAAACACAGGCTGTGCAAGTAAGACTGAAGCTAGTGCAGAGTAGGCAAAATTATTTTGTCTTTCCGTAAAATCTATACTTTCTTCCTAGACAACATTGGACGCAAAACGTTCGAGTTGGGTGAGCTAGACGATTCTGGCATTAACATCCGCTGAAAGTATGCTAACAACGGATAATCGTCAGGAGGTGAATTATCGTGTCTGAAGTTTTCTCTTCCATATGGATTACACCTAACCAATCATATGTAAGCTTCGACACTTCCAGTCACCTTGTCAGATATCATCAATCGGACCGGCTGCTACTTGAATAAGAGCATTTGCCGGTATTCGACATTATAAAATAAAAATGATGATGGTTCGTAGACATGTTCCTTACTTAACTTCAGAAAAACATTGTGCGACCGGCACCTTGGTACTGAGGAGCACAAGTAATATTATCCTAAGCCTAATAACGTGCTTGTCATGTCAAAAACGTCCACTATATATATATATATATATATATATATATATATATATATATATATATATATATATATATAGGGAATGCATGTAAGAAAAGATGTTTTTCGTAATGTCTTTCAGAAGCAACACATTCCGAATTTTTTGTTCGAAGAGCTTGCAGACGTCTTTCAAAATTCATTATTAGAAATTACACTTTAATATTACCTATAGTAAATTTATTAACGTCCATCTATAATAAAGTTTGTACATCTAAGTTGTCGAAAAAAGAGCTAGATGGTTTCAAAGTCATTTATTTCAGGTAATGTAGGTCATATCGAGTCGACATGGGTGTCATCACAAAGCAGCTTGTGCAGTAATAGATGCACTCAAATGACTTTATTCAAACTTAAAATGAGCGCACCGAAGATGAATAAAATTTGTGTGAAAATGCATTATAATTTTATTACGATAAAGGCACAATTTCTGCCAAGGCCCATAGAAACTTGTGCTGTTCTTGGAATATGCGTTACTGGGACAACAGCCCAAAGATGGCGCATGTTTCCATGGGTTCTTGGTCGACCAAAAACGAAAAATGTTGACGAAATGATTGCGTAAGTTGAGCAAGACTACCGCAAGAATAGCGATGACATCGCCAAGGAGCTACCCACCAACAATTCTAAGCTACTGAACAAAGCTGAATACAAAAAAGCTTTATTTTCGAGTGCCATACGAATTGACGCAAAGCAATGCACTCGATCGTACATCAATTCGCGAACCTTTTCCAAAACATATTAAAATCAAGCTATTTCAAAATCGATTGACTGAGAATAATGGAAGTTGACCACATATAACAATAATATGTAAACAAAAAATAAAATAAAAAAGTGCTTCGTAACCTGTGTAAAAACTCAGACCGTTTGATTACCGCCGTCTAGCTAGGTGACGGATTCGGACTTTTATTGTCAGCCACTAAAGAGATTACAACGAGGCATCAAAAAAGTAGACCGGAATTAGTGGTTGAAAAAGCTTGAATAGGAAATTTTGATGGATTTGCGATACAGGCCAGATTTTGTACTATACGATCACCACCCTAAAACTCCCTTAATAGCGGTGATTTATTTTTAATGGATATTGCAATGACAATTTTTCATCCAGAAACTACAGAAATTCTACAGTAGCAGGATTGATTTTTCAGAAAAATTGATTGAAAAAGTAATTGATCAGAATGGCGCACATCTAGCCTCGTAGTATCATTTTTAAATATAAAGCATATTTGCTATAATTTTATTTTGAAAAATGTTTTTCGACAGCTTAATATTTTACTCCCTCAATTTACTATAAAATGAATTGTTGCAGTTGTTATTCTCACCTCTCAAATTCTAGGTTAGTCACTCTAATTATAGATTAAATAAGAAATCAGCCTAGCTGTTCCTGGATCGTGCGAAAGATTTTACAGCTCGTGCACAACTATTCAATCTACCCAACTCCTACAAATATAAACATCTATTTGGACGCGTCGTATAGTTCTGCATGCATACTTTTGGCGGGCATAATTGTACCAGGTGCACTGGGTCAAATGCTAATCCATGGGCAACCTTCACATAAGATATATAACTACCTTGAGAGCCTAATCAATTGAATGTTCGCTATTGAACTCCATCCCGACCCAGCGCTTTTCTAAGTATAAAGCTACAACGCATTTGTGTTTTTTTGCCTCGACATTTGCAATTTAACCTACGAGACCCTTTCAAATCTTAAAAACACACAAAAGTTGACACATATAATTTCGCTGTAAAGAGCCTTACAAAAAAAGCAGGTTTTTTTTTTATTATTATGTTACAGCAACTATGTTACACTAGATAATATCGACCTTGCAAAAAGAATTGGGCAAGCAAAAACCTTTCCTTTTTCGTCAATTAACTGTCTTTTATCTCATTTCCCTCTGATGACCCAGAGGTACCATGTAGGGCACTTATTGAAATGCTAAATAAAAATCTCTGTTTAGCTAAACCTCGGCCATTTCACCAACAGAAAAAAAGACGCTAACCAATAACTTATTTTTACAAAAAAACAAACTGAAAATAAACCGATGCACTGCACAATATAAAACGTAAAAATGATGACAGCATGCGTTGACATAACCTGCTCCCACTATAACAGTAATCCATATCAAGTTGCTAAATGTCAAAGTAAATTACTCGTCGCAAAGTTCCCATCTAGAAAGCAACTCTCTTAGCAAAAATAACACGCACAATGGAGTAACTATCTTGCTTAATAAACTGCCCGTTTTTTTGCTTATGCCATCCGCGAAGTAAGAGGATTTTACATTCAACTGTGTTGAACGTGATAATTACTGCGCAATGGGTTTTACTAGACAATTCGTAGATACATCTCAAAAATTCTGTATAACTGCAAGCTCCGCTGCAACTATCTGCGAGTAGCGCATCTATGAAGAATTAGCTATTAATCATCACGGTTGTTCTTTGCGAAGGACGAGAATTCGGGCGTTGGCGAAGCTACTTCAGATTGTCATTGCACCTCCTATCTATTCTATCGCTTTATTCTAGAGGTATCAGATATTTTTTCTGATAGTTGCTTTGCTTTCTCAGAGCCATTAGCCGTAGCTCCGACTGCAAAGCTAGTATCATCTTGTGGAATTCTGTCACTGTTAGTTGTACGGAAATGGGCTGTTATTTACACTGGCAGTCACTCGAACCCCACGAAAGCTTGTGTCCTCACAACAAGTATAATCTAGCCTATCTATCGCTAAACGCCTCAGTACAAGCATCTAAATGACAATCAAAATTTTGTTCACAGAGCCTTTGTTTTTGCCTTATCTGACTAAGCGTACGGCATACATTTGTCGTTTGTAGGAATAGCCCTACTATAATATGTTTGTTAAGAATTGTCATTTTAGAACTAGAGAATAATAATATGTCAACGTTTAACTGTAGCAGAACGTAGCCGCATTTTGAAATACATAAGTAAAAGCACAACTATGTATATATATATATATACCATAAATGGCTAGTCTAGAGCATAAGATGTACATTTGTTAGTCCTGTATTGCAGGATTCGTTGAAGTATATACAGTACACTTCAATCTCGTCGAACATAGCTACTAGGCTAGAGGGTCTTCGACGACTGTTATAACACAATAGGCCATTTATTTGTTAGACCACAGCAACATCCTGTCACAAGTCACCGTCGTCATCAGTATTTTCAAGATGGAACCTATAAATCAATTAATAATAAAACACCACCAAATTATGCTGTAAGACTGTTTTTACAGTATTGAGCAGTTATTAAAAAATATTTTCTAGGGATTATTTAGCTGTTGATTTTCAATGTTTAACTTACACATTTAATGGGCGACAATACTTCATCACATCTTCTTTAAATCTTGTCTAATTAAAAGTGCGATTGCCTAGGCCATCTCGCACGCAGTGACCCAAAATACCAGAGAAGAACAATTCAATATGGGGGGCCAACGATAGTCTGTTTTACGCTTGGGCAACAACAAAATCATGGACAGAGTAAGAGATATCGTCTCAGGAGCGTTTAGCTTCATATTGATACATGCGTAGGATACAATCATTGCTAGCTAAATAAAAACTTGTTACTGAAACCATTATCTACCGCGCACAAGCTGTCTTGTTTATCTTTTGTTAGTCAAAAGGCCACCTTAAAAATTGCATTAAGTATCATAATTACTCTCGATTTCATTACGCCTACGATGTCTACAAAGAATTAAAAAATTGTTTTTTTTTGATAAATATGGAAATGCACGGAACAGAGGCCAAGCAAAATTAGTTTTGTTTAAAAACAAAATGAATCCGTATGGTATACAAACGACATAGGCCGAGCAAATCATCTCCACGAACGCAGTTTTGTATAGCTCGCCGTCCGTCCCATATTTCTCCATGCTGTGAACTACATGACATAAAAATGTTGTCAAATGGCCAACCATTTGAATTTCCGATTAAATATAAAAACTATAGGAACATCAATGTCCTTGAGGAAAACATCTGTCCCTCTTTGAAAATTAATTTCGATTTAACACTAGCTAAAATAAAATAAATTTAACGGTAATGCACAGAAATTCATGTGTAATTAATGCTGATACATAATTTTTCTTTATAATGTTTTTAGACGCTTACCCCACGGAGTATTTGGCAAAAAAACAGCTTGGGATCATTGAATAATGTGTATTTTAACTTCGCCACTAAACAGTCCGCAACGAGCGGTCATCCGCATGTATACATACTTAGTTTATTAATCTGTCCTTTATCTGCAGAAGGCTGAAACGTACTAAGTGTGTGTATGTGTATCCCTTGATAATAATGCTCCGCAGAAGAGCTGAGGTTTATATAGCAAAATATAGAAGTCTATCCAAACTCAACTATGAACACGAATTAGGTATAGAATAATGTTCAGAACGCTTTCTCAAAACAAGGAATTGGAGCAGGCAACATGTACCGACCTCAGTTTGCCGTCTTTAATATGTGTGAATGCATTGTGGCAATGACAAACGTAATTTATTGCATGAAGTAAAGGATTGTTAAAACAAAGCAGCACCTGCCAACAACTGGAGGTTGTTCGAAAAGCCTGGATATGTACATAAATAGGTTTAGCAGAAATAAAACTGAACGAATAACATTGTACACATCCTCCGATTTTTTGAATAAATTTTAAATTGGGGATCTTCAATCAGTTACAGTCGACTATCCTAAAGAGACGCTCATCTAAAACACCATCGATCACACACATTCTCGCCTTCGGTTGCTGCTTTATATCTGTCAAAATATATATTGTATTTACCTAAAACACATATTTCCTTTTCATGAGCGATCTCAGGCTCGTGTTGCGATAGTCCCAACTGCTGGACGCTGCTGGTTAGTTGCGATAGTACCAGCCTCAGTCCATTTACCTCTGAACTTGATTCAGCATGTCTTAGGCGACCAGCTGTAATGAACAGGTGTGACATATCTAAGCTATGCTGCTCATCTGTGTACCAACTATGTGGATTGGTTCCGAACTGTGTACTTAGGTAAATGTGACTGCGAGGGAGGTTTCATTTATACCCTATTATTATTAGATCCTATGTAAGCTGTATAATTTCCACAGGGTTATACTGGTATATCGTCTTTGTAGTTCTGATCATGGTTCGGGGTTCTCAGAGTCAAATGGCGAATATCTCAACAGTCGCTTTCTCCTTGCCCATTGTTTCTCTAGGAAGACTACTAGTGGTTACTAAATTAGTTTCATCTCTCTATTTCGTATTTTACGTCCGGCATTGCCGTTAGACATCAGACGGCTGGCTCCTGCCAGCACGAAACGAACCGTATGTCTATGCCCGGATTGGAATTTAGGTTACCGTGTGTCGCGAAGATAAGCAAGCAAATACGTTAACCACTAATCTATTATAGGGCGCCTAGCTACCTAGTAAACCCAACTTATTTTTATCACCCCGGTGTACATATCGGCTTTTGCCACATAAACAATACCCGTATAGTCTGCGATTGGTGACTTCACAACGGTACAGTTTTTATTGCGCGTCCGCGTGTCCTTTACCGCAATGCGTTCCTCAGACTAACTTGGGTCGATTTGATACAGTCGACGGCCGTAAATGGGTTATTGCTTGTAAATATTGAGGTTAACCGATGCCTAGCGGCGTCGCTGCACCGTTTATTAATGTTATTATTACTTTTATAAAAAAAAATGCCCATTAGTCTAAACTAAGTGAATCTGCCTTTGAAAGGTATGTATGGCATATTCTCCAATTGTGTGTGGCACATTTAACGTGATGCTATCGTATCAGTCGGCCTTTGGTACCGTTAAAAATCTTTTAGATTTATCGAACATTCCTTCATTATAAAAGTCGGTGGTGTTGCTGTCTCTACTTAGCGGTTTTTCATTCGTACAATGTGACATTTTGAGAAAAAGATTACTCATCATTACACACGTAAAGATGCAATGTCCAGCGTTCCTAATATGAGTAACACATGAACCGGTTAGCTTGCAGTTTTTTCAGAAAGTTTATAAAAGATTACTCAGCATAATAAATGTATAAATCAAATACGATAAATGCGTAATATATAATATGTAGATACGATATATTGATGTTTCTCAAACTGTTTCTATTCCCACGTACTCCAGGATCTATAATAGAACACTGAACTTCTGCAAATATTACAATGATATTCTTACAAAGTATTTTGCCATAAAAATTATAAATTTGCGATAAAAAATAAAAAAAATACATGGCACTCACGTTATTAACGTAACATATTAATGACGTAGATATATCTAAAATACAGTTCATAATGAACGACTGCCAGTCGATTACTGAACTGAAACCTTTTCAAAGTAATAAATACATCAAAGGGTTTTGGCGAACGGCGCGATCAGTTGGTCAATACCAGAGTGTTTTATTTATATCATATATATCTATCATATATAACACAGCAATGAGCCTATTTGAAGTTAACCTAAATAATTTCAGCCGTTATCAAATTATAGTAGAACTTCGTGATCACACAATGATCACCCTCGAAATACTGGTTGACGTATCCATAACAGAGATATTACAACGCTTACACGAAAAATATGTGATCTTCCTTTCTCCTGTCTTGGCTTAGCTAGTAAATATTGAACTAGCTACCTATCTATTACTATCTGTTTAAGGTCCGTATCGCTGAATTCGTTCGCTTAGTCACTAAATGAATCATTTGCCTAAGTGAATCAACCGTGTTCAATAAAAACCGGTTTCTCTTGGTAGAAACTCGTCTCAAAAATCATGCAAGGAACCCGCTATTATGGCAGAAAACGATGGTTTGCCTCCATAATTTTAGCAACGATTAACTATAATATAATCCTTTCGCTCTAAATAATGCACTAACGTAATAAGCTTTTTCGGTTACCTGGAGTCGATAAAAACGGAATATTGAGTGATTATGCATCTGCAAGGGCCGGCAACAAATGTATTTCTGATCAACCTTTTATTTCGATGAAGTCGTTAACGAAGAAATTTTATGTCGCTACGACTTCTACCTCAGGGGTCATTTGCGAGGACCCCAGGTATACACTATATATCATAAAAGTCAACCAAATACTTTTTGAAGTTCTTAAAACCTAAAGAGTCACTTGATATTGTTTGCTCCTCAGGCCTTTTAAACGGGTGTCTGTTAATTATTTTTGACGAAAAAATGTTCATTATCGATGCAAAAATTATTTCCAAACGATCGCTACTATTTTCATGATTTAGAGGACATGGCTATTGTACGCAAGGTCGAATCTCCTATTCAGGTTCATGTTCTGAGACAAACGTGTGAAAGAGACGTCATGCCAGAGTAATCTTCCCGAAAAGGCAAAAAATCGACAGCGTAGTTAATCCGCCTGTCCTGCAAATTGTTGTACTAGATAGTGCAGAAAAAAGCGCACGTGGTCACCGGACAACTCAGATTTCAACTCGCACTGGTGTACATGAAGCGCGATTGAGCAAGAGTCCAAGAAGGGTCGACATGGTAACATCGACTCTCTCACTCTCGTGTGATCAAAACGGCGTTCCAATCGAGCCAATTGTAAAAGAAAACTTTACAGCGAGTCTGTGATAGGTTTAATTAAATGTATTTTTGTTTAGATGCAGTCTTACAATACTTTACAAGAAACATTTCAAATTAAAACGTATCAGTTTGTAAGTATAGATAGATTTACTAGATTACCGTCTTTATTATTCTTTAATACCTACTACTTGATAAACTACAGTTGGAATTATCAATATAAGCCATAGCGTGGCCCGGGCTATGAGCACCCGCATATTACCCTAAAAATAATAAACTAAATTTACTAATTAGTTGATAGAACTATCTTTATTAAAAAATGCTCTTTACAAAGCACATAAATTTCCTCATAATATGAGTGTACCACTCTTACAACTTTACAGACATGTCTTTTTGCAAAATTAAAGCGGTATATATAATTGCCGTTGTATGTTACAACACAAATCGCATCAGGGTCAAGAAGTAGAACGTGTCCCTATCACTGGAATGCTTAATTCGTTTTACCGTAACAAGTAAATTATGAAAATTATGTTCAGATAAGATTTGAATTAACCTGCTGAAAATAGCCTTTCAAAATACTGCTCAATACAATATGCGACGCCTTATTTATGTCTTAAACTCGGGGTGTTCTTATACCTTTCGAAGCGTATGCTTCAACCTTCGGCGTATGTCGACCTTCACATAATCAACTTTTTAAGATTATAACTAGGTGGTTGAATGAGTATACCCAAAAAAATATTACATGAATAAAAACTTTAGTTCCCATTTTCATCAACACTGCTAAAAAATCGTTAATAAAATTCTATTTGTTGTTGGATCGAATAGATTATATATTTCTGATGAAATTACGATAAGTATAAACATGTAGGCAACCTCCTTTTTTGACTATCAATAAATCTTTTTATAATTGACATTTTCTTGAATGATCGCACGGTGCATGTTGACTGATTCGTCTAATGATAAAATTACACAACAAAGCATCATTTGGAAAAATTCCTAGTAGTTCTTATTACAATCATTGCACTACTGCCGTTCAAGATAAGATAAGGATGAAAATAGCCGCCACCAAAAGTCACAGAAGAATTAATTCTGAAAGAACGGTGTGGCCATTCTGTGTTACAGTATTATACTAGATTCATAAAGATATGTACCACTTTATGGAAGCTACTAACACTACGGTTTTTGCTGTGTAAAGGAATAAAAAGTTTGAATCATAGATACGGTTATCTAATGTTTCATATTATTAGATGCGTTTCTAGTATCTGTTGAAACATTACACATTATATGACACGAGGGGTTGTCTCATAAAATAAAACCAGCCGTACATTTTTCATATCTGATTGATTTTTTGAGGTAAAATGTAGTAATCATAAATAGCAATCAAAATAGCAAACGTCAGGTTGTCGAAATGCTTTTATGTGTATCTTGCACACACTAGAGGTTAACAGCGTGAACTTTAGCACGCTTTTGTAAACTTCCGTAATCAATAATTGCATCATGATAGTTATTGACAATTCGATAAACTATCAAGACTCCCTGCCTAAGAATATTTTGAGTATTTAGCGCGCTCAGCTCCTCAGGCCAGCTGCAACTTCCAGCTGTCGTAAATTCTCAGCTAGAAGATAAACTTCGTCCGTTCGACCATCCTCCCGTGCCTATAAACCATTCAAGAATATACACATCATATGCGAAATAGACGAAAAGAATAAATTTTTTTACGTGTAGACCTTTATGGTTGATGTCGAAGCTAAGCCACAAGATCGCTTACCTTGGCCAGGTATCGTTTAATATTACTGATCTGTTCCAGCAGAGGATCCAGTTCATCTTTACCTCCATTGAAAGGATCGGACTGACCTGATGCCACCTGAGGACTCCAACCACCTGCTACAACTGTGGTTGGTACGACCGACACGGCAGATGGTCGTTCCACGCGACGTCGTGCCTAAGGACATGTGCACGTGAACAAAAGATAAGTGTATATGCTTTACCACGTATTATCTGAAGAAATGGGCGGATATTCTAAAATAAACATTAACATATCTTATTATAAGTCTGGTGATTGCATTACTTTTCGTTTTAACTCAGTATGATGTAATTACATCGAGAGATACATCAGTTTTTACGTGGTACCAATCCTCACGTATGCATACTTACTGTGGAACATAGTTAATTAAGGATAAAGTGGCGCACTTGTAACGAGTGTAAAAAAAGTTCGTACGGCGTATCGTTCTTAGCTGCTTGAGCTGGAAATGTTTACAACCATATCGTAAAAGAACTATATGCAAATGATACTGATGTGCTACGCCGAATAAGAAACAACCTAAAACAACGTCTCCGCGTAGTCCGCACAGCCATCACCTAGACATCGCTTCTTCTTGCTTTTACTTGTGTAACAAATGAAGAGTATTATACTCTGTGGAAACTTCTGTTCTCCTGGGTATAGGTCATAAAAAATCTACTCTAGTATTATCAAGTCTTTTCACATCAATATCAAATATTATGAAGATTACTGCAGATTAATAAATCTGCAGTAAAGCAGGTGTACATATTGCGAATAATCTGTGCATCTGTTTTATCTGCAATGTCTCTCTAGGCTCATGTACATATAGAGTTACTGCTAACCTCTTCACGACGTTGCAGGGCGACTCGGTCAAGTTCCTCTGCTTCAGGTAATTGAGGCATCGTAAATACGAGCTCTTTAACGTACTGCACGGTTATATTTCTATGGAATTCAAAAATAAATATTAGTGTGATCACATGCAGTTTTTGACGATCTTAAATAGAAGCTGCCGTTGAGAAGATAATACATATGATCATTGTTATATAAATTAGGCAGTAGAACTGGTAAAGCCAATGCTTAGGTTCACTTGCTTGGAATCGGTATTAAACCAATTGAAATATATACTTTTAAGCTACTATTTAACCAACCTGATAAGTATTCGAAGCTGCGCTTGTCTTGCTGGCAAATTTGGATCCTTCGCAGATTCGCCGATTCTCTTTGCGATGGTCTCCGCCTTTTCGGCTAATTTGATAACAGATGCCCGGAGTTCCTGTGCAATCGCGAGAGCTGAAAAATACGCAAAGCATAACGCATTAACTCGTATTTGTGCAAAACCAACGACCAGTCGCAGGATCCATGTGAACCAATCATTTCATTTCAACGTCTACCAATTAGAGCTGCGTGAACATTGCTGAGCATACAAAGCCAACTGATTTTCATGATCAACAAGAAAATTCGCTTCAGATTCAACCGTATCCACTTACAGCTTTCACCGGCCATGAGGGCATCCATAGCGGCAATATATTGGCCTTTCAGAACTACGCTTCGGTCCATTAATTCCCTACAATTTTTGTAACACGGAATTAGAGGCTATTTTTTTCTTTGGAAGCATCTAATAAGTAAACAAATCATGTAGCAGCAACTACGTGCATTTTTAAGATATTAATTTTGTATACTGTAATAAAGATAGTAATACTGAATGTTAACCCAAGCAATCACGTACCTCATTTTAACATAGGCTTCATGTAGAGGATCTTTAATGTTCTCCTGAGACAACATCAACTTTTTTCGAAGGAGGAGTTCAAAGCAATCAGAACAACATCTACGAACAAAAAACAAAGAAAGGTCCACTTTGACAAGGATGCATAAAACTATTGGGATTGACGCTTTCTGGGTGTATTTCTTTCTAGGGGAAGTCTTTTGAGTAATATATTTACCCACTAATTATATATATTAGGTCGTTCAATATAAGACGCAATAAAAGCTGTTCCCATATTTCAAAACAGCGCTCTTTTATAACGGTACAACGCTCGGCGACACTTTTCCTATTTTTAAGGCATGCTTCCAGAATGTATTGAGCCATGGCAAATTGGAAAATTGGAGTGATTTGGAGATGTGAGTTCCATCTTGGAATCACAGAGGCAAACAGCTTGTTGTATAAACCTTGTGTTCGTTGGAGGATCTGCCACCAGGTGCAGCATGAGCCGTTGGCTTAAGGAATTTTACGAGAGAGTTTTAAACTCGAAGTTGAGTATCGCGGAAAAACCTATGCTAAAGTGACTAACAATTTTTAGTTTAAGCATGTTGCTAGCCGGATTTGGCGTATGTTAAAATATTATTTTTGCTCATCTCGATCATATTAATATGGTAAAAAATTGATATAACGGGACATCATCGTAAAGCAATTATACAAGAGCTTACTATGTTTATGTGTGCGATACAGTGTAGGTATTACTGTTTTAAAGCAAAATCGTTTGATGCTCAGCATGGTGACGAAATTGCCTTTAAAGGCCCTATGGCCCCCTGTACCTTAGACCTTCACAACAACGGAGTAAATAAATTGCTACATACAGAAAGCTATAGATAATAATATTGCATACTTCGACTGAGAATAATTACACTACTAAAGAAAATTTAAAAAGGTACAATTAACTATTTTGTGTTTCATACTGGACGACCTAATGTAAAGTGTTTCATATCATACATGAGCTGTATTTGCAAGTCCTTGTTCCGGGACAGGGTGCCCATATATGAGGAACATAAATACTACAATAAGCGAATTATTGTGCGTTCATATACAGAATCACGCTTGCCCTACCTTAGTTCAAGAACAGGTATACTCGTTCCAATTTGGCCCTGAAGAAGCTTTTGAGCCAGAGGATTATCTACAAAGCGTGAACAGTCCTGGCACGTGATCGCACCGCATAACCTGGGTGTAATGACACAAAGTATGAGCCGCATTGATGGTTAATTTAGACATAACAAATACAACTTGATTTCGTTTAAAATCCTGCCGCATTCCTTGAGCGGCGAGATGAGAATGGAGAAAAAAAAATTACTTAAATCACTTACATAAAAAACAGAACCAAAAAGCCCCAATGTATGTGATACGCAATCGGTTTAGTCACTGATTTGCCTTCTAGCGTGAGTCAAGTACGTATTAAGTGTTGTGCTGTAGCTCGCTGAAAATAACTTTTTGCGATGCTTACCGACAATGGTGTTTTCTTCGACCCAAAAAAGCGTTGAAAAGTTCGGCACAATTGGGACATCGAGGAACAAGCTGCTCGTCTACCCACTGCACAGTCTAAGAATTGAACAGGAAATAACCACACAAATAACCATGCTTTATCTGAACATATGTTTTTTTTTAAAAAAAAAGGGGAAGCTAGCGTACCGAAAAGTAAATTCGATTTTTTAATATTTAGCTGTTTAAATGAGCCATTTAGTTTCGTTTGAAAAGTTCGCCTAGATTCACCAAAAAAAATCTCACGCGGCTCAAATGCACGACCATCCGAGGCAACGAAGTGACAGCAAAGTACGCTCGACACAAGCACATCAATATTTTTCATTTGTACGAATACAAAAAGATGGTTTAGCAGTTATACATACAAGTTGTTCGAATTCACGGCGCTTCTTGTCGTTTCCAATAGGTGTTCCAGGTGCGAGCAACTTGCTCAATCGTACAACAAGTTTGTTGATTTGAGCATCATACCTTTGGACTCGGTTGGATCGACTTTTACGGAATGCGTCCGAGTGATTCACAATGTAACCCGGTTCACTCTGCTCCGGCATGTCTAAGTAGGACTGAAAATTCAAATTAGCCGTATCAAATAATAGTGACATGTTCTAAAAAAACCTTTACAGGTTCTAATAATAGCCGAGAAATAAATTAACGTTTTGGACAGTTTTGCAATAACCCTCCTAGAAATGCTTCAAAATTTCTAGCGGATATTAGTATTTCCTTAACTACTTTATTACTTTATTTCTTTATTTTATTACTATTTATTACTTTATTTCTTGAACGGCCTGACATTTGCGTAGGGTCTCGGAAATTAAGGTCGATTTCATATTTAGATAATGAAATAACTGTCAGGGAGTAACAATGGGGGCACGGGATACATCATTAAAGTGTGATTGAAGTGCAATAATGGAGTATCTAAGTCAGGGTAAGCAAGCAATCGAGGTAAGGCAATCAGCAAAGGTACATCGGGTTAAATACAGTACGATGTTTGTTAATCTTTGGCATAAATGTTTTGTGTGGACCGATTTTTAGGCTTTATGTTGAGCATATGTGACTCCTAGAATTTAAATTTTCATACATTAACCCGCCAGCAACACGAAGTATCACAGTTGTTGTATCTTACCATATCTTACACATACACCTACATAAGAAAAGCTCTGCGGAAATGCAGGGGTCCCCTCACGATCCATACGATCTCTGCCATTAACGACTCCGCTTCTCGGTGGACTGTCTTCATTGAGAAGCTTCTTTTTAGCTTTTGAAAAAATGTCCTTGAGGGATGCAAGCGCCTCATTAGCCTCAGGCTCAGGGTGTGCAAGCTTAAAATGAGAGGTCAGCTCCTCTGCAATTTGTTTGTGACACCAGAAAAAGTTAACGAAGATGCAGCATACACATTTTGTTCAGGTCAGGTGCCTCTCACACGGTTCCCCTACAAGCTTCTATTAAATACACTTTCGTCAAGTTAAAGTTCAAAGGTGAGCACATTTACGCCTTTATAAAATACTAAAAACATGTTTAGTATGTTACATGTATTACCTTTAAGGTAAGTAGTTACGTAATTAAATGTTAGTTTTAACTTTTTACGAAATTCATAGGCACGAACTTTTGTGTAAACCACTTTTATTCTATTCCTAAGTTATTCATCTTTACTAACTGCAGTCGATAGATTGCTAGCAGTCGAAGATACCACTATAAGGAGTTTAACATTGATACACAGCTGCATATTGATCTCAAATTGTTAACACATAGGTGTGACATTGTAGCATGGGTTCATATCTGAGAGACCCGACTAACCATTACATTACCGATACACGATTACGGATGATAAAAAGAACAACGGAAACTTAAAGCAATGCCGATCGAAGATTTAGTTATGCAGCTGCACCTTGTTCACTGGTGACGCTGTTGATAGTCGATGACTTGCTTAGAATTGGCATATCAAATTTAGACGTGCTATTATTATATCTATTTAGTTTAACAATACTATACTAATAATAATAACATAGGTTTACTAGATTAAGTTGATGAGCGTGAAATTCTTTCAAGGTCTGATTTACTATTTGTATATTTAAAAACAATGCGAATGCTTTAAAATTTTTTCCCAGTCCACTGACAGCATGTGGAGCATTTTCCATTCAAGCAAAGTAACCTGCTTGTGGCCTCTGTCACCTATTTTTTTCGACAAGAAACCCACAAAGGTTCTATAGTATACTAATCTCACCGATTGTGCCGAGATCTTGCATGCATATTGGACAGATGAGTCCCTCGCGGACCTCTTCCATCTTTTGTACGCTTTCAAGTTTGGTCAGGTTGCGCAAAAAACGTTCACTAACAGTTTTAAAAACAAAACTCTTAGGTGGAACTTCAGTGCAGCTGAAACTCTCATAGGCAAATGGCACCTACCGCCGTCCAGGTAAGAACACCTATTCGATCGGTTGATTCTTCTTTGACGGAACGGATGATCAGCTGATGTGTTCCAATTGCAAGTTCAGGTTTTAACTGGTTTAATGCTGGAAGAGAAACACGACCAGATGTTAGCCTTCGACGAGTAAACATTGATGAACATTTATAAACGTTTACCTCACTACGCGTGAGAACTCGTGTAGTTTAAGAGCCAATTATATCATCTGAAAATAAACGCCAACTTATGTTTTTATTACTGCAAAAATATATTCCTTTCACTTTATCATAACTTCTGATATATTATGAACGTTATTAGACATCCTCGCAAGGATTTAGATGGAGGATTTAGAAGTAGATTTTGGTCATTGCGGTTTTTGTTTAAAATTTTATTTTCTAAAATAAATTATAGACATAGCGTGCTATTTGCAGTTAATGAAAACGTGAGATCAATGGATTTTTGATTTCCTTACAAACCACGAAACAGCTTACCTGCGTCCTCGGTATTAACGCTTGGGTAACCGTCTTAATAATAGCCATTGACAACTACTGCTTGCAGTAAAGTGTAGGAAGATTCACTACTTTTGCCCTCTTCATAACTAACATAACTTCCCAGACAAGATAATTATAACACTTAAAAGGTAATGAGACTCCCGTGGATTAAATCTGGCAATAACTACGCCATCACACTACACTGAAAAGACCGGCTAGTTAGTTGCTACCTAGCATCGATTTTGCTTTTTTTTGCTGCATGACAGTAGAACCTTACGAATCAAGTAGACTTTCCAGTAATAGAGCTGATTCATTGAAAAAGACTTGTCTATAAGAAAAAAAAACTAAAAATATGTTGCAACTGAAATGGATTGTATAGATTCATTTATTTGGTAATTTCTTTGTAATCATGGCTTTTTGCTTACACTATTACCAGCAATAGCAGAGAACCAATATTAGAAAATGCTTAAAGGCGTTATTATGACAACGCCTCGATAATAATCATAGATCTCTTACCGCCGATGCTGGACAGGAGCGAAGTTAACTAAAGTTAGTTAATAAAAAAAAGCACACGCTTTCAAATTATCTCACAAGAATAATGACTATTTGTTTCGATTTTTCTTCTGTTCAAAAGAGACAGGGTTATCTCTTTCTGTAAACTACATTATATCATTAGGAATCACTCAAACGCGTATTCAACTAGCAACTAACTACTTATTTTTTGTCAACTAAACGAAACGAGTAGTTGCAAAATTCCCAATGGAAGTGTTTACGCCTAAACTTATTGAATACGCTCGCGGCAACACTGCGATTACATTACGAGCCTTACTTGTCAAAAAGCAATAGAGAATTCTTAAAACAAGAAGATAAAATGAAGACACACGGTGTTAATTGTTGCATTTGATATATTGTTTTCCTATAAGATTACTTTCTTACTTCGATATAATTTCATTTATATTACATTACTTGATCATCTTCGCTTAGTATAAGTATCATCTCATAAAACAACACAAGACCTTCGACTCATCGTACCATTCTACACATCATGTAATGTTGAAATAATACTTCTATATACGGGGCACATCCGGCTCTGCTCGCCTTCCGGTTTAGGGCAGAACCTTCATTCGCCCCTGACAAAACCCTTTGGAAAGTCACAATATTTAAGAAATAAGTAAGCATGTTTGTTCTGAGCACTAGCAACAACCATATTTTCATTTAAAAATGCAAGAAATTTCAATTGTTATATGCCAAATTTTAGCGGTTGCTACTTGTAGCTTAGGATAAGACCTTAAAAACAACGTATTACTGACTTTCCAAAGGTTAACGACAACATGGCCTATTTTACAGAATGTCCCCTTAAATTACACTTCTTCATTAAAACCATCTTAGTCTTGTTTGATCTTGTTGAGCACTTGGTCACAGTTAATGATGTAGATTGCGAAGCGAATGAAGCCTTACTTGTGTTATTTTTTCAATCATATGAATCGTTGTTTAAAAGGTGCTTTGTCATTAGTATTGGGATTGAAAAATCATTGCTTTTCCTTTAGGCACTCGATTCGTTCATGATGTATGGGTGTGAGTAAAAACTACCCCCTGTCTCGTAACAATGCTGTGCTGCTGACTAGTGGTTATCTGCTAGGGAAAGTGTGAACTATAGGGTTTCTCGAAGTTCGGCCATGTTCTCGAATTTGCCTCCGAACAGCATACTCCTCCGGGCGTCGATCAAGTTGAACAGCTCATGCGGATCAGGAATACGTCCTGATGTTAGCTTTGACCACAACTGTTCCTGATTTAAGTAGATTTCAAAAGCTCCTGTTGAAATGAGCTGTGTCTCCACCATGCCCGTAATGAAAAATGTCAATAAACAGCCGTAGACCTAAAGAAGTAACCGGAAAACATACAAGGATTTATTTTCTGATGATGAGGGACGGACATTCTACGACATGCTATAGTATTCAGAGAAACTGATGTCGCTTTTTATGTTAAAAGAGAATCTTTTTTTTTTGGGCACTATTGGAGAAAAAACTTTTGAGCATTGCCCATGATGGGGTTGGTAGGCCATAGCCTTTAGAGTGCAACTTCGCGCATAAAGCATGACCTGACCTAAGGTAATGAAGAAGCCTTAACGAGTGAAATGGGTCTTTATTTAAAGATTCAACAATAGTTCTCAGATTACAATCAGAAAACTACATATTCTAACCTGATCAACACTTATTCCCCTAGAGAAGATACGTAGTACTGCATTCGGCATGACTATATATTGTATTGGGCAAGTTGGCGGTAGTTGCTAAAGTAAATTTGACATTTTCATACCTTGTTGTTGAGAAGCCAGGTCCAGATGGCAGGTGTAGGCGCATTTATGAAGCGAAAAGGGTTCGCCGACATCATGAACAACACAATGACAAGTAGCTTTGTCAGACCGAGGGCTTGCGCAATCATCATCCTAAAAAATGGAAATAGATTTCCAGAGTAAGAACGTCTAAAAGTATCTAGAGACATGCATAAGTTGTTTTACTCACGTTAAATTCGCTGAAATAATAAATACATTGAAACAACTCATTGGTTATGCAGAAGTTCCAGGTAATAGTGGCACGATTACATAATATTAGACTAAGCATATAGCCGAATCACTAACCTGCACATATGAATTAATTAAAGTACTTCAATGAATCAAATTTTACATAAAAGAAAACATTATGAATCTCACTGCTATTTACCTGGGGAATGGTGGATTATAGGTATCACCGACAATTCTCATTTCCGGGTAGCGACGCTGAAGGACTTCGGCATACTGCTGGAAGGCACCCTTGTAATCTCATGAAACACTGCAATAATATAAAATAGCGTTGATGCAATTCATTAATGTACGCGGGCAATCCAATTAATAGAAAGATTACACCTAGACCCGTGTCACTGAGTAAATAAGCAAAGTCAGTAAATTGGTTCAGATGGTTAGTTTGGTTATTTAACAGACGCGTGATGAAATTCGCAATCTATAGAGTTTAGAGATTGCACAAAGTTCAATTATTATATATGCACCTGTACCCGGCAATTGCAATTCGAGATTGCTAGGCAGTATAGTTAGTAATCGATTATGAAGAAAAGGACAAGCTGCATGGAAAGGCATCTGGGCCTAGGCATTAGAGATCTCCTAAGGGCTTTAAGAGATAATTTTCCTGATGGGTCTGATATTCGCTGCATTACGTACATAAGTATTAAACAAGCCTATTTTTCAAAGCTAACCAAGTTTCCCCTTAATTTGATAAAACCTAAGAAGGCCTGCGATGCTAAACAGCTACGAGCCTTTCCTGTCCTTGGCTTTGGGAAAGGTTTCTGTAGACAAGAGATTTCGAAAGACTTGCGAGATCATTAGTTCAATAGCGCTTAATGCTCTACTGCATGACCCCTTTTCTTCATAAAGATGTCTGACGATTACATGCAAGCAAGCTGATTTCTTTTAATCCTGGGTCGCATATGGAAACTGTGCTTTCTTTATATTGAAGAAGCTGGCCATATACCTATTGAATATGGTTGAGCAAGCATTGCAATACAAATAGAGATGACGAGATTCATTGAGTACTCCTTTGAGATCATTTCGATTGCTAGACCTCAAGTACTAATTATGGCAAAAAAACTCATAATGGAACTATTTGTATAATCTATTCCAAAAGGAAGTCGATTATTAACAAAGGAAGTCGATGTCTATTACGAAGCCGACCACTGCTTTAGAATGAGACAATCAAGCGCGTACGCGTCTCATAACCCTGCTTTGCCGTAAGCAACACCTGTGCTGTTTTCCCTCCATCTCCCGTGCTGCTTCTGTTTTGCTTGTTCACCGTCTAATAACGGTCCAAATGGGCATCGATACTTTGGTCCTCTAGCAAAGCGGCGCACTTTATCAAGAGCAATTATTGCTATATTTCTATTGGCCTACCACGACTAACTCGTAGATATCCACAAAGTTAAATCATAGCTTTATGTACTATGAAATTACATCAAATCTCTATAACGTAGCGTAGATGTGTGTGTTTTACTTACCAGTAAAGGAATGTTAGCTGAGGTATTTCGGGTGATCCGGCCAAGTCCATCTTGAGCTTGGGAATGGTCTTTCCGACCCGATTGTTTTTGAGGACACCATTACCGTCACCGGATTCTTCTTCTGGTGTCATAAAGTCATACAGTGAAAATGCAAGGAAAATACCGAACACTGTGGCGGCCAACAGGCTGCCACCCTCGGCCATTGTGGCCTTATTGGTAGAACTACACGATATCTGACTGTGTTACTAGCTCCAAATCAGAGGAGTTAATGGGCTCCTTCGGCACGCTCACACTTATAGCTTTAGTTTGTAGCGCTAATTAAATTGACAACACGGTTTGCTTCGTTCGTCTCAGCGGCTGATTCTGCAGTGCTGGGCTCTAGCAGACGAAAAACTATTGTTTATGTGATCGGTGTCAAATAACTGGGGGAGATCGCACTTCCTAAAGAGCATCCAATGACAAACAATGCTGACCGTTCACGCGCGAAAGTTCGTCTCTCGTTCGTACGTTCTTTACGAGCTATTCGTCATTTGTGTTATTTTTGTTTTATCTCTGTCTTACGCTGCCTATATAGTAGCTCTTAAATATAAACCTAAGGAGAACTAGGTTTATAGGTGTACATGCATTTTAGTTAAAGTTGTTGTGCGGATCTAGCTGAATTAAAGATCAGCCAATAACAAAAATCGTTAATATTTCCCACTCCTCCGCGTCAACGTGTAGAGTGTTACGTTGGGTTGATTATTAAAATTCGATGTATGACAGATTCGATTCGTTTGCAAATTGAATGGTGGAAAAAGTTTCCTTAAATTTTGAGCAAGAAATTTTGTTTCAATTCGAGCGATTCCGCTAAATTTCTAGGCCATTTACACAGTTACAAATGTTAAATTGCCGTACTTCGCATGATACAAATCTCGTTCAAAGCGAGGAGAGCACTTTAAATAGATCAGCTCAATTGAGAAACGGCGGAAGGTATCGCTTATATATTATTTAGGATACAAGTTCTGTCCTTGCTGCAAACCTGTGGTTTACTTGAACTTTTACTTGCTGCTGTGATAAGTTGATGCTATTCTTCTCAGTAGGTCGTTGGCCTGATTAATAGATGCAATAACGAATAAGGCAAATTTCGCAAAGAGCAGTGAACTTTTATCGTATGTCAGTGAAAACTCGGCACAGTGTAACCTAATGAACAATTATTTCTCCAAATTACAAAACAAAGCTCATTGGAACCGAGCGCATTCAACTTATATAGCTTTAACTAAGTTGAACAGGGTGGCAACTTCGTTCATAAATAAAAAAAATTCACCGTAAAAAAAGAGAATTGTCACACAAATAACCTCCTATAGGCGAGTTTTGAAATATATAGGAAAGCAAAATGTCTATAAATATTTGTGACCTCTACGGTCATAAATGCCATGGCGCGTGTTGAAATAATTCGCCTTAATTATATAATCTAGTTACCGTTCTAGTCAGCTTAGCTGGAACCGTTTGTGAGCTGAGCGTACGCCAGTTCTTCTTACAACAAAGTAGCTCACTTATATTTGAACACCATACTTGTAGCGTAATTTATGGATGCTCTATGCGGCCCAAAGCTCACTCCTTCAACTCGTATCGTTGATTTAAATAAGAAATATAGCAAGTGCGAGCTTTTTAGTTGCTCTCAAAAGGTCAATTGAAGATATCATGGGGTTGACTTCTTTCTGTGCACCTGACTTCGCTAGAATCCTTAAGGCCAGTTTTCACAGGTGGCAGGCTTTCACAGCTAGTTCGTGAAAGCAAGGCTCCTTTGTCATAAGCTGGTATCCCATAGCCACCACCGTAAGCGGATGAGGTCGTTCAGCATCTAGTTGCATTTGATTGGAATGAACAGGTTATTGTGATCGTCCAACAGCGACAGACGGCGGTGTGTGGGCGTTGATGCGGTACTCGTAAAGCTCGGCAGCTTTACGAGTTACCCACACATCGGGAGAGGTGTACGCAAGCTGGCGGTACTTCCTATAGCAGTCAGTCCACGCCATTAAAGTTCAGTTTGTATTCATTCATCGCAGATTTGTTTGCGGAATAGTTCGATTCGCCTGTAAAGTAAACCTATGTGAGTTTAAAATATCACCTGTGTTTGCTAGGATTGCAAGCGAAATTGAAATGAACGCGCGGGTTCGCTAGCGTCAGATCGACCACCCAGAGTCGTTCAGCCTCGATCCAACCATAGAGGACATTTCACCGATCCTCCAAGTGCATGTGGCTATCAGCATGAATAATACCGCGTGCGGTCTAGAAAAACATTGGGTCTTCGATTCGAGCTAACGAAATATTGGCCACTTCAGTTTTCCATAAGATTTTTCAATTTGGTTGGTAATTCACTATTGTGCATTGAAAAGCGTCTAGGAATGCGTCATTCAGCTGCTCCATTCAAACTATCTGTCTCATGTATGAAATATATTAGCGACTGCTAGCGTCAGTCGAACGTTCGAACAGAAGAGGTATTGTATATAAACTAACATTAGAAAAGTACAGAACTCATATTTGTCAGCTACCTTCGGTAGAAGAATCTTCATTCGTTAGATCAAAATTGTCGAAAAAATACAAGATCCGGGATCCACGACTTGTAAGCAGCGGATAACCTTAGACGGTACTATTAGCCAGCTATTGCTGCCGTAGAAAGCAGCAACTAAGGAATCTTCATTACTGTTATAAACAGAATTAAAACTATTTCAGTGTGCAATATCTTCAGGCAGCTTGTTCGTAGATACGTTTGTTTTTATCGGGTCAAGCCAAACTTAACACGTACAGATTTTAATGTTTTATTCAAAAATAGAGTAAAGTGGCTCCGAAATGTTTTGATACAATATATAAACAAACCAGGAAGTAAAATGCGTCAGGCATGAATAGTACGATAAGCATTATTTGAAAAACCTGAAGCCAGTATGACATCTGACATGACAAACATGTGGTAGTTACAACCTTTACATGTAAAACGATCAATGCAAGGTATCTCAGAAAAGAAGCAATAGAACTCTTTTAGCATAAATATGCACTTCTCGGCTTCCTAGTTCTTTACTTCCTAGTTTCTTCTCTATATATTTGTGATTACTACTATTAGCCACTTTGTCAAGTGTTCTATACGAGACTTTGGCCTAGTTTTTTTTTCGAAAATCTGTGGATGCATCACACTATCGTGTGACGATAATAATAATAGTAGATAAATAACTAATCTAAGTTATGAGTTAGTTAGGAAAATCTTTAAGTAACAACTTTAAATAGCGAGAGCCAAATGGACCTTGCAATCCCTACTACGCGCTTCCGCAAATACACATGAAATCGACAGAATGAGTGTTCTACCAAACGTACTCCGATGAGTGTTTCGTAATTATAACATGGGCTTTTGAAACATGTTGTTTCCAACGAGACGCTACCTATGAGCCACATACACCCTGGCGTTGTCCATCTTGGACACTGTGGTTAGCCTTCATACGATACGTAAAGATCGGCAGTGATCCTAGACTGACATCCCTGTTTTGAGACTTGAAACAGTATTGCGAAGATAGTTAACTAGCATAACATTCTTGCAAAGAATACATGTGCTCAAATGGAACATTATATGCTAACGACTTGCGCCCTGAAGAAGCGCCTTTGGTTAAGATGCAGCATATCTTTAGCAAAGACGTATTGCCCCCGCCGTCTACTAACCCGATCTTAATCTCTTTCGTTCATTCTTATTATTTGTTACAAAAATGTGGTTGAAGATCTAGCATTGTTTAACTCTTTGTAAAGGTAGACACGCCGACTAACTTCGTCGCTTACAAGCGAAGTTTCGTTTGCAAGATGAACGGTTATACACTGCAAGATAAATACTGCTGTGAAATACGACTGCTTCTTATAGCCGAGTTTTCTGTGAACAGTGAAGATATTAGCTGATATATGCTGTAATAGGACCTCTTCAGAATCCAGAAAATCACCTTTATCGATGAGCTGATCTCGATCTTTCCGCTCGCACACCTTCGTCATTGTTGATCAGCGTTCCGCACTGACCCGTTCCACGAACTTCGTCTCAGCTGATAATCTCTCGAGGCTGTGCGAGGCTTGATCTGGTGGCTTTTTGCGCCCTACCTTAACAATTAGTGGCAGTCGTTTAAGGTTTTCATCATACCGAGATGCGTAGGTATAGTAGCTTCAGGTTTCTAAGATACGAAATTCCTTGACGGCCAGTTGGGCAATACAGTAGCTTCTTTGCGCTTCAGCCTTAAAGGGGAAGATGCTATCGCCACAAACGTAGAAACTCTGACGCATGTTCCAGATGTTTAAGAAACTACAGTGGTGGTGACCAACAGGCGTGACGAAAAAGAGCACAAAACTCGTCAGTCGGTCGGGATCAATACGACAACGCTATCACCGTTTCGATCCGAAGTGGCAAATCTCAGAAAAGGGACAGCAATAACAAGCAGCGGACATGGGGCCAGATGGAGACCAAGGCCGAGGTAAAGGCCCGGCGAGAGTGGGGTAAAATTGAACCAAACAGACATTTCGATTGGGCAACGAACTAATGTAAAAAAAGAGGCAAAGAACACGGGCCATCTCAAGCTAGCGTAAGAGACCGTGCTCGGATGTACAATCATGACGATCTCATGGGAGTACCTCAAGCTTATGCTGAAGCGAATCTGGCGACCCGGGCGACTGGTCGCACCCATTAAAATAATCGGTGACACTCCACCGTAAAGGAGATAGTTCATCCCGATAAGATACTTTTTGGTATATGGTTTCTACATCTCAGGTTGATTAAAGATATAATACTTTATTCAACTATAAAAGTCAAGTCGATGTAGATGTCGAGGGAAACCAGTCTGGTTATCACAGAGAATTCTAAAGATTTTATAAATATATATCACTCGCATGTGGATTATAATTTTAGTTAAAAGTGTGCTTGCATGAAGTCAAGAATGAGATATTCTTGCAGTATCTTCGGTGATGCTCAGAATGCTCTAAGACCTAAGCGCGTCGATCGGACAATAAACCTAGTCAAATTATATTACTTAGTATTTTCGTCTCATACCAGTTTACTTCCGTTTCAAAGCAACAATCTTCTATAGAAAGCTTTGCAAGTTTAGCGAGTTAGAAGTTAAAAATCGTCCTATATTTTTTTGTCTGTGTGAAAACGAAAACTACTTTAATTGATGGCAATATTTAATAAACAATTTGTAGCATATCATGTAGCCGTTTCGAGTACACGGTCATCTATACACTAGAGTAATTATGAGCAGAGTGCCGCTATGCACTCATAATGATGGTCATGTACTTAACATAGTAATTTGCTTCCAGCCTATTGTCTACGCCCGATTTCGAGCCCGGACCAGCACGTCTCCGTTCGACATGTTCTTAGCG